GGCTGGAAGACACCATACATTGTTACCTAAAGTGAAGTGGAAGACGATAAGCCGGAATGCAAAACAGCGACCGAGTAAGGACCGAGATCTTCCACGTATCCCGATGCAAGACAATCCGCGGGATACTATTCGGAGAACGGGGCAGTCGCGGAACTGACGCTCGGGTCCTGGGGGGGCCAGCTATCCAACCGGTGACAATCGTGATCAACCCATCCGCGTGGGCCTAGAAAAGGACGGGAGTTCATCGGCAAATCTGCGGTTAAAAAGGGAAGTCATGATGCGGCAGAAGGTAGATATATAAGTTGTAGATGGATGTACAGCTGGCAGTCTAAGATCAAAATAACATCTCTCCTTCCCGTCTCCAAGAACCAAAATCCAGAGGACTAAAAATTCGATACGCTTTAACAATCTAATCACTGACGATGCCTTCGCTCGAATACACCCCATCCTCCTCTCTCACCCAAAGTACACACAAGAAATGGTGGAAAGAAAGCTCTGTCTACCAGGTCTATCCGGCCTCGTTCTGTGATTCCAATGGTGACGGGGTTGGTGACATCCAGGGGATCATCTCGAAACTGGACCACATCAAGAATCTTGGTGCTGATATCGTCTGGCTCAATCCTGTCTTTGCTTCGCCCCAGGTAGACATGGGCTACGACATTTCAGACTACTATGCAATCTACCCTCCATACGGGACGCTTAAGGATCTGGACCAGCTTGCTGCGGAGATCCACGCGAGGGGGATGAAGCTGGTTCTGGACCTTGTTGTCAACCATACCTCAGATCAGCACAAGTGGTTCCAGGCGTCGCGGGCGTCCGCCGACAATGAGTACCGCGATTGGTATATTTGGAAAAAGCCGGTGTTCCGTGACGGTGAGAGGCATCCACCGAATAACTGGCGCTCATATTTCGGAGGTACTGTTTCCCATCCATGACGATGATGGTGATGATGATGGGTCCCACAGTCGATACTGATTAAGGCTTGTTGTCGCCCAGGGAGTGCATGGACATATGACGAACAGACCGGCGAATACTACCTGCACCTTTTCGCCCGGGAGCAACCGGACCTGAACTGGGAGAACCCTCGAGTCCGCAAGGCTGTGCATGAGATCGTAAGATACTGGCTTGAGCACGGCGCTGATGGATTCCGCATGGACGTGATCAATTTCATTAGCAAGGACCAGTCCTTCCCGGATGCGCCGTTTACAAACCCCGCCTCACCGTGGCAGTCGGGCAAGGAATTCTATGCGGCTGGACCGCGACTACACGAGTATTTACAGGAAATTGGGAAAATCCTCAAGGAGTACGACGCGTTCTCCGTCGGTGAGATGCTGGACGTTGAAGACCCAGCTGAGATTCTGAAAGCTGTCGGTCACGATCGCGACGAGATCAACATGGCTTTCCATTTTGAACTGTATCTCCCCCCCCCCCCCAACTTTCCACCCAATTTTCCAGCGTCGGCGCTAAAGCTTGCTGCAGTGTGAACTTAGACCATGGCGCGACAGACAAGTTCGGCCATCGCGATTGGGGGTTGGGAGAGCTCAAGGCAATTGTCTCCAAATGGCAGCAGTTTATGCATGACAATAATGGCTGGAACGCTCTGTATCTGGAGAATCACGACCAAGGCCGCTCCGTCTCTCGTTTTGCCTCGGATAAGTCCGAGTTTCGGGAACTCTCCGCAAAGATGCTCGCGACACTGCTGGCAACTCAGAGCGGCACCGTGTTCATCTACCAGGGACAAGAGTTGGGGATGCCGAATGTGCCACAAGATTGGCCATTCGAAAACTATCGAGACATTGAAACGCTAAATCATTGGAAGGAGTAAGATCTGCACTCTGGATGCTGAAAAATATTCCGCTGACATGTTGCGGCTAGACTGACATCGGCGCACCCGGAAGACACCAATCTCCACCAGCGGGCTCTGGCGGAGTATCGCCTCAAATCGCGAGACAATTCACGCACCCCAATGCTGTGGGACGACTCTCCTAACGCGGGCTTCTCCACTGCTGAGCCGTGGATCCCCGTGCACGAGGACTACGCAACACTAAATGCCGCCCTGCAAGTCAAGGACCCTGCAAGTGTTTACTCTTACTGGTCGGCGGTCCTCGATGTCCGCAAAAAGTACGCTGACGTACTGGTCTACGGATCGTTCAGGTTGGTTGACGCTGAGAATTCAGATGTCTTTGCTTTTGTTCGTTCTAGTGCGGCCACCCCGCAGCAGGCGCTGATTGTGTTGAACTTTGGTCCACATGCGGTCAGCTGGACTTTGCCAAAAAACGTTCTTTCTGGGGCCGGCCATGTGATTCTGTCCAACTACCATGCACGGATTGGAACCAAGCTGATCGAGTCGGCCTCGTTTTCTCTGGGCGGGTTTGAGGCGTTGATATGCTTGAACTAGCTGAGTCCTTTAGAGTTGAAGTACAGCCGCAGTCTCTCCGAAGAAGGCCCGTTCTTACTCTGTCTTAATCATCACCCCATTATTAAGGGGCTCCACTTTCTCGCCCAGACGCTTTGACCACACGCGGGGGCTCCAGTAGTCTAGATGAGACAGTCAACGATAGTTGCCGAAGTACTAGTAGAGTAGCCCGCCCAGCTCCCCCACATTCCTCTATTCCTAACCATTCTGCTTCCCCTCGGACATGTAAGGAAAACTCCAGTCATCATGGAGAACCCAGAAGCGCCTACACGCACACCTAAAAAGAAGCGATCGACATCGATGGCCTGCGATAACTGCCGCCGACGCAAGATTCGCTGCAATCGTGAGCGACCCTGCGGGAGATGCGTCGATGTCAATCTCGCATGCGCGTACACCAGCATCCCCCGCAGAAAAGGGCCGAAAGGGTCCAGTGCCCACGTCCTGAACTTTCTGCGAGGCCTGGGGACTCCTCCACAGCATCAGAACCTCTTCGCGTCCGCGGTAGCAGCAACAACGACGACGACGACGACGACGACGAATCCAGCAAGCGCGCCGGTTCTGCATTCCAGCAATCTTGAAAACCCCGGATCTTCGTCACCAACCCCTTCCCTAGCTTTCTCTCAGAGCTCGCACTCATCAACAGACCACAGCATCCTGAGTCTGGCGACCTCCGCACGCGGCGATGTAAAACGGCGAATTTCGTCCACTGTCCTCGGAGCCCATGTCGGCCTGTTTCTACAGCATCTCTACCCAATCATGCCAGTGATTGACTCCAAGCTGGCGGCCGATTGTTCGGATCCTGAAGCACTGCATCCACAGCGGTATGCGTATATTGTTGCTTTATCTGCGGCGACTCACCTGCAGCTTAATCTGGACATTGGCGAGTATGAATCAGCCGGGGATAATCTCATCTCGGGCCAGGACCTGATCAACGAGGCCGTGAGGGCAGTATGTGAATACGACGCTCTGGAGCACCCGCACATTGACACCCTTCTTACCATGTTCTTCCTCTTCTGTGCCTACGGAAACTTGAACAAATCTGACTACGCCTGGCATTACTTGAGCCAGACAATTTCGTTCTTGCAGATCCTTAAACTTGACAGGGAAGAAGTATATGTTGGCTTTTGCCCCACTGAGGTTGAGGTTCGCCGGCGGGTCTTCTGGTTAGTCTTTGTCACTGAACGGTGAGTATCTGCGAATCCACTTGTCTGCAGAAATACTTCCAGGCTAACTTGATAGTAGAGCATATGCTCTCCAGACAGGCAGGCCTGTGATTCTTCGCCCTACTATCCGTAGACCCTCTGTCCTCAACTCGGAAGTCCCTGCCCTACTATATGGCTTCGTGAGCCTCATCGCTGTCTTTGAACAAATGGTGCCCGAATTTTACAACTGGAACATCAACATCGCCTGCGACTCGCAAGAATGCTCGACCATCAACTCGATGTACAAGTCCCTTTCCAACCCTCCTGCTCTTCTCGACGAGGTATCAGAGACCCACCAGGTAGACATCATCATCAGCCAGCAGTGGCTCCGAGTCTCTCTCTGGAACTACCTGGCCAAGAGATATCCCTTCCACCCGCGAGACCCAACCACCACCAAACCACTCGTACCTGTCCAAATCCCGTGGATAGCGGGAAGAATAGCACTGGCGTGCCTCTCCTCCGCCTCCTTGCCCTCTGTTGACGCTCACGGTATTGGCATGGTACGTGTATAGATTGCATCGAACTATCCTGAGTCCTGAAGATATATTTCTAACCCTTCTTGAAGGAACAAAAGCTATACGACATCGGTGAGAGCATAACCCAGCTCGTACCCCACCTCTCTAAAGCTTCCCCATCGACTGCAAACTCCACGATTCCCTCCTCAGCAGATATCAGGGACCTGCTGAAGAGCATTCTCAATGTTCTCTCGCGAACCCGCGGCTGTCAATCGTACCTGTTTTCTACGCTGTTGAAGAAGTCTCAGGATCTGCTGCAGGCCAGCCATATCCCGGCGCCACTTCCCACATCCACCGAACAGTTCGATAATATTGAATGCTCTCGTTCTGATGTGGCGGCGGAGGAGCAGCAGCAGCAGCAACAACATACCGATGCGGAGGCTCCTGAATGGGCATACCTTCCAGAGGCTGAATTGATCTGACCATTATGGTTACGGTGATACGATGTATGTGGTTTCAATCCTGTGTGGATTCTGATTCGGAATACCATCAGACCACATCTCTGTATTTTTTCTATGTGTGCGTGTCTGTGTACAACAGACTTTAATAACCCGGCTATTTTCGTTGGAACTAGCTATATTTCTGAACGTCTCAAATAAAATGTGACATATATCTAACATCACGAGATTTGACGACTTGACGACCCATAAGCTCCGGACAAAATTGCGCACTTGTGCGGTCTAATAGGAAAAAAGGGACCCTTGGGAGGTTCCATAATGTGAAGCTTGCGTACAATTGTGATATTCGTCGAAACCCTTTGCTACCGGAGTGTCGTTTAGCGAAGGGCATCGTCATCAACATACCTGGGCCAACGCCCCCGACGACTATATCCCACTTCAGAAAACCCAATTCCGGCCCTTTTTTGATAGAAAATAATGCAGTGATACCGGTCGAGTGATGACGACGGTGCTTCAGATGTTCCTGGCTTCGCCCTGGCTGCATTTCAATAATGTGGAGTCGTCTAGATACGATACCCCAGGTTGATGGACCAACTGGCACTGTGCGATCTAATGCGGGGACTCCGGCTCCACTTTTGGTTAAAATGAGGATCAGCTCATTTTCATTTCCGACCAATTCTACCCTACAACCGTGGAGAAGGCTGCCGCCGTAATAAAGCTGCCCACGGGTCCTTCATGCCGCTACGAAGCCTATTACTGCAGGTTAATGAAAGCCGCGGAGTCAGAACATGTCGATCGCGGCTATCATGCTCGGGCACGGCACCGGGCATCCTGTAGACAGTTGGTTGTAGTGAGAAGTCTTTGGAGCTTGACACGGAATGGCAAAGAACCATTTCAAAGGTGGTGGTTGGCACTTGCTTGTTCTCTTGTAGTTCGTCAAGCTCTTTTTCAATCGTTACACTGGTACATACTTTGCTCTCACTGTCCTGTCGCAATGAGGTCATTCTTTTCCACCGGGGCCTTCGCCATCAGCCTTGTGCTGCCTCATCAATCGAACCTGACCGCCAGCACCCACTGTGGCACTGACTTGTGTACCTGGTGGCATGACACTGGTGAGGTCAAGACTAATTCTGCCATGGCGCCGGACGCGGTGAGGCAGTCCCGCCAGTACCTCGTGCAGGTTGCGGTTGCAGGCTCTGGTAAATACTTCGACTCCTTCGTATACGAGGCTATCGAAACGGCAATGGCAAGATTATGAAGCTCAGTGGCAACGATGGAAACTTCCCTGATGATGCTGGCATCTCCATCGAACTCGACGAGGGTATCAACATGCCTTGGAGCCGATTTGAGCATAGCCAGGACGTCGACGTGCGAATCCTCCGCCGCGATAGCCAGCCCGTCGATGTAAATGTCACCATTCGTCCGACAGCCCTCACTTTGACACCCAGCACGTCGCAAGCTCTCTGGTTATCCGGGTTTCTGCGAATCAGAACGGCTACCAGTTTTCCGTGGAGTTCGCAGACGACCTCTTCACCTACCAGTCCAGCGGTAATGCTATACAACCGAGAGCTCTAGTGAGATTGTAGGGGTCGAGCCACGCAACGCACTGGTTATCTCGCCAGTGCCTTTCTCCCTGGTGACCTGGTCCCGGCCCTCGGCGGCCCCGACACCGAAGTCATGACTCCCGGTGCCTTTTCGTTGGCCGACATCGGCGGTGCCCCTATTGTCTATTTCCCTCCCGGCGTCTACTGGATCGACTCGGAACCCTTGGGCCTTCCACGTATCAGATTGGATCCCTCAATCTACTGGGTGCATCTGGCTCCTGGTGCCTTTGTCAAGGGTGCTGTTGAGTACACCACAGCAAACAAGGACTTCTACGCCACAGGGCACGATGCCCTTTCTGGTGAAATCTACGTCTATCAAGCGAATGCGGACAAACGGTATGCTGCAGAGAAGAGGGATCTCACCAGTGTGCGCATGTGGTGGCACCGCAGGGTCCAGGGAAGCCAGGTCTGGCACAGCGCCGGTCCAACCATCAGCTCGCCTCCGTTCAGCACGATGAACCTGAAGGACGGCAGCACCGGCCGCGATGACATCTCCATGGAAGTCTTCGACTACAAGCAAGTCGGCGCTTTTTCATGCAAGCAGGCGGACTGCAGATGTACAAGGACGCCAAAGTGCGTGGTGTTTTCTACCACTGCAATGACGACGGGATCAAGACATACCATTCAGGTGTAACAGCTACAGACCTTGTCATCTGGAAGGTCTTCAATGACCCCATTATCCATATGGGATGGCAATCGCGTGATGTGCACAGCATAGCGATCGACACGTTGCGCATCATCCACACGCGCTACCGCAAGAGCGAAACCTACGTTCCCTGCGCCATCATCGGCGCCTCGCCCATCTACAACGGAGAGCCCGCCCTCGACCCGTCCATGGCAATCAGCATGAGCATCTCCAATGTCGTTTGCGAAGACCCATGCCGTGGATTATTCCGGTTGACCCTGCTGGAGAATTACGCCGACTTCAAGGTCACGGGCGTGCGGTACTTGGACGGACTCATTGGCGGTAGTGCCCCGATCGGGGACTCGATCATCGCCACGGCGGATGATACGACCTACTCTGGCTCCGAAGATCTTATCATGGGTCTGCAGATTGAGGACTGGACTGTAGGAGAGGAGAAAGTCACTATGGACAATCCGAAAGATCTGGGACGCTGGAATATCAATGCTGCGTTTGACGGTCAGTGGTCGATTGTTTAGTCCGGCATGTTGTACCAAGCAGTGTGCTAGCCCGTGGGCCAGCTCATTTTTCTGGTTGGGTATCAATTGCACGACAATCCCTATGCCTTACTGGGCACTCTTTCCCTGTTACGAATTATTGAGCGGCCGTACTCTCCACGGTGCATCTCCGCAATCTCCGTATACTGTTTCCTGCTGCGTGCTATCTACACTTGTATCCAACACCAAAAACTCCGTACGAAATACCATCCAGGAGTATAGGAGTCAATAGTAGCGTCCTGCATCGCCGTTGCTGCTTCGTAGTGCAAATAACCTCACTACCCGGAAACGGAAATCTTTTGGGAGCTGAATTTTTTCTGCTCCCAGACCGTTTCCAGCGCAGGATTGAATTGTTGCCTAATGCTAATTCTCAACCAAGCCAGGACTCAATGCATAACTTGTTAACTCGGAACGCTCTTGGAAAGGGTCGTGGATGCCCGCTCTAGTTGTTTATTTCGACTGACCGGAAAGTCTGCCGTAAATATGGCCATCTTAAAGTACTGCGTAAGCACAACGGGTCAGAGAGGGCATCTGTATTTTTCTGCCATGCGAACGTCGCTGATCGGAGGCCAGGTCGGGCGTTGCATTCATCTGAAAGGCCCAACTTGAGTGCAGGTCTGTCGGCTAATAGAATTGCCGGCTCTGATTACTTACTGGCTAAATAATCTAAACTCAACGCCCAACTGTACTTCTCTTTGGATGACAGGGATAGGGACCTATAATGAGCCGGCATAAACCCCCGAGGGTTCCAGTGTCTCCGCAGGTGCATGCATGGCACGGAAGAGGATATCTTATTGTAGTCACCGCCTGTAGCACAATAAGAGTAATGAAGGGTCAAACAACCTACGCCCTCGCGCTACATATAAGGGTATCTCATGTGATGCCGTTACTGGTTTTAGGGAATTATCTACTAGGGCTTGTTTATACGAGGGGTTTAAGTTTCGTAAATCCGGCAGATGGCCTGATCAGTCCTTGCGAAAGTAGCTGTTTCATAACAGAATGGAGTGCCAGAAATTTCTGAAAGTGAGTTACCACCCCGGAAAATCTTGCAGGAATTGCAGAATATGGAGAAACGAACCCCGCGGGCGCGGGCTTACTTCGGCATGCAGCGGAAGGGATGGCGTCCGGGAGTAGGTGTGGGTGAGAGGGGTGGGCCCACGAATGCGAGGCTGGGTTGAACAATGCATACACTACCCCAGTTTCAGATATCAGGAGGGTAGCAAGGCCATCGGTATTCTAGGGCTTGGTCAGGGCCTATGAGAATTTTGGATGACCAAGGGTACTTGGGTGGAGGTAATGGTATGTACATGGGTTGAAATGAAGTCAAGGCTCGGACCTACTTCGCGGATGATGAAGCATCTCTAATTTCCTGTTGCGCCGTTCATGCGGTGCACTTTCATTGTTTCCGTCTTGGGTTTGTCAGGGACATCCGCTTTCACTCACCTGCCAGGAAGTCACAAAGGCAATGTTCGGTGGATCATCCCTATATAAAGCCAACAGTCTTCTATGCATTCCATATCCTCGCAAGACACAGATACCTCTGTTCCATCATCTCGACACAGCAATTATGTATGTTAACATGAAGCTCAGCAGTCTCCTCACCACGGCCGTGCTCTTTTCCCAATCCGCCGTGGCTCACTACAAGTTTCCCTCTTTGATTGTCAATGGCACACCTACCCCGGAGTTCAAATACGTGCGCTTCAACACTAACAACATCAATCCGTTGTTGGACCTTAACTCCATTGATCTGCGATGCAACGAGGGTGGTCTTGCGTCTGGTCCGCAAACCGAGACGGCTGTCGTTCAAGCAGGATCCACGGTACCCCATATACAACACACATCTTAACAGTGTTTGCTAATTTCTGCCACAGGTCGGCTTCACTCTAAGCAATGCCATCGGCCACATAGGCCCCATGCTGGTCTATATGGCCAAAGCACCCGGGGACCCCTCGAACTTCGATGGCGCCGGAGAGGTTTGGTTCAAGATCCATGAATGGGGCGCAGATTTCTCCACTGGCTCGATCAATTGGCCCCAACTTGGTGAGCTATGAATGTGCCTTTTTATTCATTCAACCGGCTACTGCTCCGACTAGGCAACACTACGAATACTAACTAACACCCATCATCTTCAATCACAGGCCTCATGAGCTACTCCTTCCAGCTTCCCCCCTCTCTGCCTAATGGCTCGTATCTGCTCCGAATTGAGCATATCGGTGTCCACAATGCAGCGAACCCCAACAGCGCGCAATTCTTCGTCAATTGTGCCCAGATCCAGGTGACAGGTGGTGGCAACGGCAATCCAGGGCCCTTGGTTACGATTCCTGGTCTCTATAGCAACGAGGACCCTGGGATTCATTTTAACAACTATTATCCTCCTGTATGTTGCTTGGATCTTTCAAATGTGTACCGAACTGGCAGACTAACTGAGTCCTTTACAGCCCAAGTCTTATATTATCCCGGGTCCTCCGGTGTGGTTTGAGTAGATATATCGGCGATGTGAGGCCTCCGAGCTGACGCACGCAAAACGGGAAATGGGGAATTAATGTTGTGTTTCACACTTTCGACTGTGATTCGAACATTGTGAGATCTTTGCCCTACGCATACACACTTATTGATTTATTAGCTTGGATAAGTTGAAACTGCATGGGAAATCTGTATATTCTTTGATACACAATTCGATAAAAAATGATTCCATAACTCCAGCACCGCTCGATTTTCATGAGCAGAATTTCATATCAAATCTAGGTACAACAACCACAAGATCAGGGGTACTTTACGGCCTCGAGCGGCGCAGGCTCTCTGTCAGCTCCTCTGCAAGTTTAACGAGCGCCGTCATCGATCGTGACAGGACCATTGAAAACAAGTACCCATAACCCTGCTGCCCATGCTACCTTTAGCTAGCTTCCTGTCCATGCTCTTGCGGAGAACACGACGATGTGCAGCTGCAAAAGACGACAACAAGACAGACTAGTGGGATAATGTTCATCGCAATGGGAGTAGAGCATTTGAAGCATGCGAGGGTAGGGGGTAGGCCGGGGGGTTCTAGTCCCCCTTTTATAATTCTATCTAAGCTATGAAGGAGTGTGATAAGCTAGATGGTTATGTATACAATAAATATAATCACTAGATATTACTAATTTACTATATGCTTATAGACTATACTAAACCTCTGGCAGAATACTTAATATTAGAGTTGCATTTGGTGCGAGTTTGGGCGAGTCCAACCTTAGTTGGAACCGAACCGCTGCGGTTTCGAGTTGAAATTTTAGAAATCGAACCCAAATCGAATCCGATGCGATTCGGTTGCGGTTTCACTGCAAAAACCCGCTACTAGGCCTAGCTAGGTATAGCTAGGCCCCTACTAACCTATCTAGGCCAGTGGTATGCCTAGGCAATAACAAAAATTTCAAGGGTTTTTAGATTTCAATTTCTTATACCTTAGGCACCTTTACTATATATATTAAATATGCTTATATAAAATTATAATTTTTCTATGAAATATATAGTAATTATGACTATTCTAATCTATATTAGAAATATTAATTTAATATCTATAGTTTTGAATGGGTGGTGGTTAAAAATATATTCTAACTATAGTGAGTATTAGACCTTGGTGCCCTTATATATATATATCCACACCACTTTCATACCAACCCATAATAAAAATGATTATTCCCCTATATCTCACCAACCACTAGATCTTTTGAATTAATATTTTATATTTAGATAGACTAGATACTAGGCTATCTAGTGATATCAATATTTCTATGGAAATCCTAGAAATTAGTGATTACTAAGCAAAACGGTTTTTTGCAGTTTACCCAAAGACCCCCTGGATCCAACCCAGAACCACCCCTAACCCAGTGCGGGTTTGCAATCTAGGAACCGAATCGAACCGCTGCGAGTTCAGTGAGGGTTGGGTTCGATTTTTGCGGGTCGGTTATGCCACTCTATACAGCGACATATTCCAGTTATAGTAGCTTGTCCAGATGTCTGGGAGTGGGTAAATTTGTACCTTGCTAACTGACGCAAAGTGTATAGACGATTCAAGAAGTGGGAAGAGGCTATAAAGCGAACAAGTTGAGGAAAATTAAAATACATGGATTAGATCAAGCCGCTGCGATACAAACCACGCTTTCTGCAATGGGAAACAAAGCTCGAACACCGTTCAGGACAACCCACCTATCTTTACGTGGACGTTAGATCAACTCGCAGAGTGCGTCAAGGCTAATCAAGTTCTGGAAACAGCTAGCAAAGACGGCAAAAGGCGATGTCCCACACTTGATTGTATGCTATGAGCGCGATATTTAGCCCTCTGACCTTGGCAAGCTCCATTCCGGCTCTAGAAACCTGGATCCACTGTGCCTAAGTTCATTCCACCTAGGGGGTTGATTCTTCATCATGCGGTTCAACCATAGATTCCAACCGCAACAAAAAAGAAAGAAGAAATGGTGTGCTGATGACTGATGTGCGCTCGGGAAGGCTTGAAAGAATAGCAGTCTTTGCCGCTCCTCGGGTGACTGGGATTTCTCGGTGTTATAGAACGCGTAACTGTTAACGGGTATATAACTACAAGTCGCAAACCGGAGGTGGCTTGGAGCAGATTTTGACGGGCGACTGCGACGGTGTCAGGCTGAGAGAGATCAGAAACACACCAAGTACCAGCTGAAGATAATGAAGACTTTTCGGGTCCTGACGGGTATTATTGCTTCACTTCGGTGGTACTCGGGTTTCTCGCTTCTCATTGCTATCATCCGTCGTGCTCTTGCCCAGGTGCTCGTAGAGACATCAATGTGGCTGATGGCATGCTCTTAGCTCAATCTATCCCTTGGGTAGATGAGGCCACAGACTTTCAAGTTGTCCTGCGTCTCACGATAATGAAGTTTTGATGTAAGTTGAGAATGCCTGTCTTCGCTGTTTTCTAGCTCTAGTAGGTAGGTTTGAAAGCAGCTACGATTCTTATGGCTTATGACCCTATTGTAATGAAGGAATGAAAAAGCATGCAACAAAGAAGATCTTAAGTAGCCAGTAATAATGGGAAATAGCACTATCATATACCTACGAAATTTGAAGGAGAGAAATACATAATGTGACCCCTCGACACCTGATCAAATCTACCAGCAAGAAACATTAAGCTCTATGAGCTAGGGATGAGTGTTCCAAATTCAACCATATCCTTTCTGATAGCTATAAAGACCTAGAATAAACTATAGGAACACAATACCTAGCTACTGCCTTAAGCTGACAGTGGTGCAGGTGCATCTAGGCCTCGGCAGACCCTGAGAGTGACCCTCAACGGGTGACACTCCACCTTCAACTTTGCGGGTGGAGGGTCCGGCCCTCTGTTGAGCATCATGGTGCCTGAATCTTGCGGCAGAGATTGGAAAAGGATATATATATGATACACCCATCTTGTCACATAAATTTACCAGACATTAGCCCAAAGATGGTCATTGTTTCTTGATTTGAGACTTCGGGAGACATCAAGAAAGTATGAGGTGATGACACTATCTTTAGAGGTGGTGGCTACCTACATTTATTTCCGCTTTGAAAAGGGTAGCGGACTTTGCCCCCTTCTCCTGATTTCAGCCGCCGTCTGACCCAAGTGCACTTGTCTAAGGTGTAGAGCGATACGCGGGAAAGGAGATGCTGGGCCAAGATTGGCCAATCATTTATGGAGGTACAGATCTAAATCTGCCATGGGCTTGCGATGAATTATCAGAATAGTACCAACTTGATCTTCCCGCATACGTGCTGTCTTTGCCATGTCTTTATTATAAAATAACTTTCGCTGGCTCTATCGCGTTCTTGAATGCTGGTCATCTAAGGGAGTGGAAACTTGCATTGCTTCGAGAAATGCCTACGGCTAACGAGCCCCTTGTTGCTTTGCAATGCACCAGTAAACCACAAAACAGAATGCGCAGTCCATCGCAACATTCAGTCATTGGAGAGGTTATCAAGCCACAATTTGCATATATTTGGAATGATAGATTATCCGAAAATGTGACTTGGAAGTGCTCGGGAACCGTAGTTACTAAGGAAATGTCAAATGCTTGTGCCTCAAGAAGAGAAAAGGACAACAGTGAAGCATGGATTCCAGGAATATGCCGAACATCCCATGCTTTAATTGCGCCTCCTGGTATGTTAAGCTTTACTATTCCAATGCCGACAACATGATGGGAATGATTGCCTGTATCATGAACCGGTTTTTCCTTGGCGACTTCCTGGTATGTGAGAAAATCATGTCATATTTTGCGTCATGTTCCAGGTTGCGGCTGTATCAAGGAGCCATGTGTTGGGAGATGGATTAGATCGCACGGAGTTGGCTTGGGCAGGCTTGTCTAACAGAACTAGTTCCTTCCCTTTTTGCTTTCCTCTGTGTTCGCTGATTTGGAGGTATTGTATCTCTCGGGTTCTCGTCGACGACACGGTGGTACCTTCTCAGGGTGTTTTGTGGCCAGAGGTCGTTCCTATCTGTAATTGTCCGCCAATAGAAATCGGAATACACTACCGCAACTGATACCTACGCCTGAGAGTTATCCATTGCAGTTGAGATTCCTTGGTCAAAATCACCCAAGCCGCTGGCTGTTTCGTCAGCTGGATCGCGCCAGCCCTCCCTTTCATCCTTGACCACCCTGACAAAGAGCACATCTAGTATCACCGCCGCTAACGCAATTCCGGCTCCAAAGAACAGTGCAGCTCTGAAACCAAGTACTTGGTCGGTACGATGTTTGCTCACCTGCGTCTCTATGGTCCCAGCGAACCCGAGACCCAGACTATTTCCGTATAGATTGAGCGTACCGATTAGGGAGGCGGCAACGCCTTGTTGGCTGCGCCTGACGCTGTTGCTAGCCACTATTTGGGCCGCGACATAGACGAAGTCTGGGCAGAAAGCCATGAATATAGTAGCAGGAAAGACTTGCGCCCAGTAGATCTGTTGTTCTGGCATCGTAGCCAAGAGTACGTTCGCAAGCATAATCGCCGCAGAGCCGATGGCCAAAATCCATTGTGCGGCGAGACGAGGAATTAGCCACGCCGCAATAAACGTACCGATGGTTGCGACGACGCCGAATGGAGTCCATTCAATTCCAAATTGCAGTATACTCTCGTCGCGCAGAAGCTGTAACCACGCTACCAGGTACCAAAGAAAGATACCGTTGGACATGAAGCTTAGAAGTACGACTAAAATAACAGCTGCAAAGGAAGGAGCCGTCCAAATGCCCAGTGGCATGATCGGGGTTTTGGTGATCCTGTACTCCCAAATACCGAATATGGCAAGCAGCAAAACTGATGTAGCGAGCAAAATAATCTCGAAGGGAGTGCTCCATCCACTTGCAGGAGCCTGGCTGGGACTCTTTAGATCATTTCTCAATTGCACGGAATTTCCACTTACTTCCACGCGACATTGAAAACAATCAGACCGCTTGTGCCCAGCAACGCACCGATCCAGTCAATCTTACCATTTCTATCCACTGGAAGATCGGCTGGTAGCAGTAGAGCGAGGAGCCCGAAAACGAAAGTGCCCAAGATTGCCCTAGAAATACTTAGGTCCCGAGACTCCTTATTGAGCCTGAATGGACTTACAAGCCAAAGAAAATCCATCTCCAGCTCGAATACTGAACAAAGACACCAGCCCAGATAGAACCGAGGTAACTCCCAATAGGTGCTGATGCTCCAAAAAAGCCGAGCGTCACGTTACGCGCTCTACCTGGTGGTATAGTCGTGCTTATTAGAGCCACGGCGTTGGGCATAATCAAGGCGCCTCCAATACCGGACAGAGCGCGAACAACGTTGAAGGATAAAAAGGTTGTGCAAAAACCGTTTGCAAGAGAGCAGACAACCAACCAGGCTGCTCCAGCGATAAGGATGTGTCGGTGACCATATACGGCCCCCAGTCGCCCACTAATCAGGACGAAGGTCCCTTGCGTCAACCTAGGAAACATATTGTTATTATGAGCGCTACATGGTTTGTTCATGGTAAAAGGAACGAACGGATAGGACGCTGCAGCCCAATTGGCTTTGCCGGGACCAACTGCAGCACCTAATATCTTGCTAATCTCTAGGCCAGCAGCAAGACCAACCATGTTGGATATCATCTGGCCGTTATAAGAATGCAGAATTGAGGAGAGTAGCCTGGTAGTCCGCTCACCTGAACCATATTGCTCAAAACTATGAATACAATGATTGTCATCCTGCGTCTTTTTGTTGGGACGTCAGTAGGCACAGCCTCGAAAGTCCGGGGGTGCCAGTCATGCGATGGTTGTGTCATGTCGGCCAGGTTGATTGAGACACCCCGTTCAGAGAGTTGCTCCATCTGTGGTGCTTGAGGGAAAGGGAAATCACAGAGCTTGTTTTTGATCGGTTGTAAAAGGGACTGTACTGTGAACTACCTGACAATGACTGACTGGCACCAGCTGTTTTATATGCCGTATAAATCAATGGCCACAAGTTTTCTAAAGGGAGCTGGTTAATCTTTCCAGTCAGTTATGGCGCTTACCAACAAGAGCTGATGTCAAATAAACGGCCCGAGACTCCGAAAATTGCCAAGCGAGTCGATGTATATTTTTGTCCAGTCTCAAGGCGTGGATGAACCAGAGAACAGCCGAAATTCCACCGGCGACCTATCTGGTCACTCCGCTCAGTACGTTGTGGCACTCACGCGCAATCCTCGGAGGGTTTAGTTAACATTACTTCGTATTTGCTTGGTAATCAAACTGAGCCGCATTAAGGTCGGCGGACACCGGTGCACGTCCACGCGCCAGCTCCTCAAATCCAAACGTAAAATGTAGCAGCTCCATAATGCTGTGGATGCGCTCTTCAGATTGAGTAAAGCAGGCCAATGCAACTGTTAAACATTAGAGGGCTGCTGCACATAAGGATACCCAGCCTGATTTTAGAGCTAATCAGTAGAGGCGAGCATGTCTCAGGAGTACTTCGTTGCAAACTTCATCCAGGTGCACACTGGGTAAAGTATCAATGCAGGAAATGCCTGTCTTGAAATAAGAAGGGCAGAAATTGTTGTACCAAACTAGGGGGGGAATTCTGTGCCATAAAAATGACTGAATATGGCTACATAGCTGTTCCTGATGTTGACGTCTTCGCATAGCCTGTGACCGTTACCAGGAATAGTTCAGGCACAAAAAAATCACCCGTGTATACAAACTCACAGCACAGCTCTAAGGTGAGCTCGTCCATCCAACTGAGAAGCACAAGGGTATTCTTCTCATTACTTTTAGCCACCTTGATAGACTGCTAATAGCCATTGGAAAAGCCTGAAGCGCTCCTGAATGAACAAAAAAAATAGTAAATCACTGTCATTTATATAAATGGTCACCACGTGCCGTATGTACAATGCTGGAAATGGGTCCCTTAACATCTGTTAGATCGAAGAAGACGCGTAAGACCTACCTTTCCTAGGTTCCCCCCATCCCGCAGCGCGAAGAAAGAATTATCTTTATGGTCTGGGTCTACGATCTAGGGAGACTGAATCATTTTTTAAAGGTTCAACACTATACTCTTTGCCAGGAGGTCGTGTCCTAATGCTGAGTGGCCCGCGCAAGTTCCGGCGTGGGTCAGGATCTGAGCACTATTATACCAAAACTTGGAATGACTGCTTGTCTCCGGAGTATCTCTTCGAAAGGACCTCTGATCCCAAATCCACCCAGGTAGTCTAGAAATATAATGCCGTTTGAGTGTCCATATTGCTTCGATGTGATTACCATCAAACATAAGGACTGGGCTCGCCATGTTTTCCGCGATTTGATGCCGTATGCTTGTCTATCAAGGAACTGTTCAACTCCATCCAAGCTCTACGAGAGTCGGCACCAGTGGTTTCATCACATGCGTGGGGTACATCAGGGGATGGCCGCAGCTCAGAATGGCTTCACCTGCCCATTATGTCAGATCAGTGTTCAACCACCGGCTTCTTTTGAGAAACATGTTGGTCGACACCTGGAGGAACTGGCACTATTTGTCTTGCCTCTGACGGAGCCTAGTGAGGAGGCCAACTCGGAAGCGTCATCACGGGCCGCATCTGCCATTGCAGCAGGGGATGATAGTAATCAGAGTATCAGGTCGGGCGGGATTGAATCCGATATTGGGCCCGTAGCAGCCCTAGGGTTGCTAGCGGGGTCGCCCCGCAAGACACACAGAGTCTGGTGAGTGAACATTTTGGTCGTGAACTCGACGAGCTCATTTTCGCGGGCGAGGGAGAGGAGCAGTATTCGGAGCGTTTTCGGGGCGTAGATGTCGCCACTGCATATAGCTATACAAATCCTCGGGAGCGTTTCGAACAGTCCTCAGTCGCCCGGCTAAGCTATGATAACAGAGTTTCTGGGGAAGGTCCAGCAGAAGGTCAACCTAGGCTTTCGCGTCGACTGGGCGGGTCTGACATCTCTTCCACGAATCAAGCCATATCATTTTAAGAACTGATACCTGAGAACCACGCATGGGCGGCACAATCCAAAAGACGACCAGGCCCTCTCCTGTATATGATTCCTACGTTTCAAATCAACACCAATCAGCCGACTATAGCTCTGATTTATCGCTGGAGGACAACAGTGGCCGTCCTTGTAAACCTACCTACCCTTCACGTAATCGCGTCGCCTCCCCACCAAAAGACACTAGAGTTTCAGAAGAAAGGCAGGGAATCGAAGCCAAACCTCCAACCGATGCTGATACCCCGCCTGAAGAAATTTTAAAGCCTGCCCGGGATAAATTTCCTGAAGTACATAATCTTAGAGATGTGCTCAAGAAGGGAATTCCTCCCGGAGCACGATGGACCAAGATTAATCGCCGATTTGTCAACCCTGCTGCATTGGAGGCTGGCCACGAGTAGTTCGAGGAACGTCCTGATTACGTCATCGTTCTGCGAGTCTTATCCAAGGAAGAGATTCAATCGTATGCGTTGAAAACGCAGGACATCAGACGTCGTATGTGTGCTATTTATAAAAGGATCAAGTGAACAAGAGCTCACCTAGACATAGATGCTCGGTATCAGGAATATCTCGAAGAACGACGCAGGCACGGTGACCAATGCGAGCTGTTGCCATGACGTAGTCTGCTCCCCTTCTGGCTAGAAATGGGTCAGCAGTCTATTCAGATATTACTATCTCCATAACAGTAATCTCAATCAGAGCTATTCGACATTTCCATTAAAGCCGTTATCGTAAAAGAAAAGGATGTTGGGCCGGTGGGGGAGATGGGCACGTCCTTGATAGCATTGGCCATTTGCCAGCTGCCTTTTGGGAGTGTTTGGAAGGATTCATGAGTTTTTGGCTTTGGCAGCCACCCTGACCCCGGGTGGCCAGAAAAAAGATACCAAGCCAAACCGATGGGACGCTGTAAACGAGATATGACTGTAGGTAATTTAGCAGGTAATCATATCATCACGTCAGATACTTTGTTACAAAGGGCCAATGAAGTGTAAAAAGAAGTGGGCTGTAGGTAGGTAAGTAATCTGTACTGTATCTTCTCAATCTGCTCCTGGTCGTTACGATAATCCCCAGGTTCTCAATCTGGTTGGCTGCTAGAGATGCGTCCAAGGGCGAATAATGCGGCTACTAAATCCTGTGATTCCTGTCGACCCTTAGGTTGATAAGGAACTTAGTGTTCGTGGATTGAGGCTTGATAAAGTAAGCGGTTCGGCGACTTCGCACATAATCCGATTGCATACTTTCAAAACCGCATTGGTTCGATAATCTAGATGAAATATATACTATCGGCTGTAATGAACATGAAGCCACATGGGTCATACGATGTCGTGTGAGGGAGAGAATCCAAATATATGGAAACATGCAGAAATCAATTCAATTGGACAGGCGGTATAATTTATCAATAAATATGATATTTCTCATGTAAGTATAGGAAATCCCAAGTTTCACAGAGGAGGATAGTGTCGCTTTCCCCAGTAGTTTGTATGTAGTGGTGATTTCCAAGCTAGGTCGCGCGCCACGGCGTCCGATCGGCCCGGTCGGGACATACTCTCCGTCCACTTGAATCCCTCCAGACCAGTATATGCCTGCTCATGAGAGGTTTCATTAGTAATGGACAATAACTAGGGGGTTAATCAGATCCTCGAAACAATGTTGCATAAGCTTCAGCCCATGGGCTTCGGACGACCGATGCCGCCGTTATTGGAAATCCCCTTCCGGAGACTCTCTGCCTGACTGGTAAGAAGATGAACGGATTTGATAAGGGACACGCTTAGAAAAATATATAGCTTGATTGAAGCCCAGTGCTACGTAGGAAGAAAGTAAAAAAGGAACACAAAGCTACTGCACCATTTTATCATATTTAAGTTTCCCCTACCATCAGTTGCAGTTGTTGTACAAGAAGATTCTTGCACTTACGCACCATGCCTAGCAAGCTCCGTGACAATGTGTCTCGCGTGAAAAAGTTCAATCCATTGGGCATATTGACATTTATTGGGCTACGTGCGGCCGATTCTCTTTTCCAGTACGCTCTGCTTCAGCGAGGCTGGGCATCCAGCTTGATCGAGCTCGTCGGTGCTACAGCCGTGAATCGCAACCTCATTGTTCATGACTCGACGGGTCAACTGCACCCTTATTATGCTATTATTTCATACATGGCTTTCGGTAGCAGTGTGAAGCAGATTTTGAACGCCCTGCTCGTCTTGGAACAAGAAATGTCACCATCATCAGCAATTGCCATTGCGTTCTTCAACACTGTATGCAACTCGCTGAATACTATCCTATCGGTCTGGGTGGTTACGGCACAGGCGCCGGGCCGGCTAAGCTTCTCTGGCATTCTTCAGTATCGACTTTTGCTTGCTGGTGTCGGGTTATACATGGGCGGTATTCTTGTAGAGGCCGCCTCGGAACTACAAAGACGATCCTTTAAGAAAGATCCCACCAACAAAGGAAAGCCGTATGCTGGCGGATTATTCTCTGCAGCAAGACATATCAACTACGGCGCTTACACGATTTGGCGAGCCGCGTATGCATTCACCTCGGGTGGCTGGGCATGGGGGATTGCCGTCTTCTCGTTCATCTTCTACGACTTCGCGACTCGGGGTGTTCCAGTTCTTGACAAATATCTTCTGGATAGGGTGAGTCGCTATGTCTATGGCTGGTTATGAGAGACAAACTAATTCGAATCAAAGTATGGTGAACAGTGGCAGGCAATCAAGGACCGCGTTCCGTATCGTCTGATTCCTGGCATTTACTGAGATGAAAAGTCTGTCCTTTACTTTCGATGGTGCCCGGACCGGTTGATTACTATAAGCTCCCCCGGATTCCCCTCAATTCAATCCGATGAGGGCTATTCTATCACTTCTATCACCAGAAAAGGAGGTGGGGTTTTGACGGTGAACCAGGATAATGTACTCAGAAGAGTCATGCTGTGTTAATAGGAGTATATACAGAAGCATATTTTAATTAAAGCTTCCTTCTTAACAACTAAACTAGTTGTAAAGATGGGTGGCGTACACTATGGATTTTACTGTCAAGTGGATGGCTATGCCTTCTAAGGTGTGGGCGGCTGCTATCTGGAGATAGCACACTGAAGGATCCACTGCGATCGATACAATGCCTTTTCATTCCGAGGTTCTGTCTTCATAGACTCACAACTATCTTCTGCCTGTGGCTGTCTCTGTAGCCATCCTATACCGCGAAAATCCTGTTGGGATCAGCCCCCTCAATGAATTTGCACCTACAAGCAAGCTCCGTCCGGCCCCGTCAGCTGCTTGGCTATCAGTGCCACTGCATTACCCCTCCCTGTCCACCCCTGCTGTCTAGTATAGATAATCTAGGTAGTATTCAACTTGGCTCTACATACTTAATCAGATCATATTAGTTGCAGAGTCCTGATCTGCTAGCATGGCTATGAAATTAGGGAATTTAGGGTATACCTATTAGGGTTAGGCTGAGAGGGATCCTGGCATGGAATTAGATAGTGCTAGGGCCCCTAGAGGGCAGAGGGGGCCTATAGGGTAGTTCAGACTAGGGTTATAGTAGTTAGGATGTAGTGATATATATCTCTACTGTTTAGGTATACCTCTAGTACAGGAGCTACCATACGGCCCATACCTAGTAGAAACTATCTTATAAACCTTAAAGCTAGGGAATTACAGCCCAGTCTAGCGTGCAGCCTAGATCATAGTGTATAGCAGGCATTAATCCCAGGGGCCTGGGGGCTAGTGTAGCAGGCAGGTCACCTAGCTCAACAGCAGCGCAGGCGAAATCCTGACAGGGGCATGCTGATTGTGCTACCATACCAGTGGATTAGGACACAGTGGCAGTGGCAGGGACTATAGGAGGCCAGCAGCTATGATATACTAAATAATATGCAGCTCATCCCCCTGTGATAGCAGGGGCAGGGGTCTGGGGGTGATGTGGCCACGGGGGGAGGGGGCTGTGATTCTGTGAAATGCCCGCCAAAAGCAGCTAATGGGGGCGGTGGATCCCTGTACATAGGAAGGGATGAAGAAGGGTGGACGCCCCTCAATTTGGCTATCTTCATAAATCGACACGAATGCCTCAAGATTCTTCTCGGTGCCCAGGCCAACTGCGAACATATCACTAGTGACAGCAGCTCAACACTACATTTTGCGGCAGAGAATGCAGATCTCAAGACAATGCAGTCGTTAGTTCGACATTCCTTGTACCTTCATTTCCGCATTGATAGCGAACGGCAGGAGGATGGCCTTACAGCTTACGAACTTGTGGAGGAGAGGACCGGCAATTGATATCTCTTAAAGTTATTTCAGTGTGCATGATGTGTTCCCGAGCTTGCACTTCGGCGTGTCCCATTATTGGTACTAAATTAGGGCCGTACTGCACCTCAAGTTGCGGGCGTTGTTGAGTTGAATGTGCAAGCAAACCGGAAGTTAGGGTTATACGCGCCCTAAACGATTATATTAAAACCGGTATCTGGTCTTTGATTCTCTTTTACAATTAACTTTTGTGCACTGCAATGGGAGATAGTGGCCTTAGGCGTGAGCTTTGTAGAATATTGTACTTTTAAGTGTATCAAAAAATCTATACAAATCAGGTTCTATGAGATGCAAATTGGAGGGTCCGACCTTTGGAACTTGGGCCGGGCCATTTCGAGTAATCACAACCTTCAATCACAACTACAGCACGTCCACTAAAAGAGCGTTACTGCTTCTCGTGGACCTCCTCGGTTTCCTGGCCACTGTCACTGCTGAGGCCAAGCTCCTTCCTCTCAGGCATGCCATGGTCGTTGGTATCCAAGCCCAGCTCGCGAGACTGTTGGATGATCTGGTCGAAGCTGAGCTTCGGCATGTCGTGGGCGACCCTGAACGGCATCTTCCCTTCGATATGGGCTTTGGCGTAGATGATGTCGACCTCCTCAATCTCACGGCCGGCGGTCTCAACATAGAAGAAGTAGCCGAATATCAAACCGACAAAGTTAAATAGTGCGAAGAAGAGATAAACACCCCATGGGCTCTGGCCAGCGAAAAGCGGTGTGAACATGACCACGGCAAAGTTACAGATCCAGTTGGTACAGGTTGATGCCGCCGCGCCCACGGTGCGGGTACGGAGGGGGTTGATCTCTGGTGGGTAGATCCAGGGTAGTGGCAAGAGAGTGAATGCAAAGAAAGTGATGAAGAGAAAGATGCCAACAGCAGCACCCTTAGAATTCTCCTCGGTTTCCTTGATTAGGCAAGCGAACGTAATAACGAAGCTAAGCCCCTGGCCTAGAAAACCAATTAAGTATAGTTTTCGACGGCCGACTTTTTCAATCATGAAAAAGGACGGGATAGTGGCAAGGGCGTAAACAGTCGCGAATACTCCGCCCATGATTAGCGACAGATATTTTTCCATATGCAGGTTCTCTTGGAAGAGCAATGTCGAGTAGTAGATAGCAGCGTTACAGCCAGTAAACTGCTGGAAGAACTGACCAGAGCACCCGATAAGAAGGCGCTGGAATTCCTGGGTTTTGCCAAATGTGAATACTAACTTCCAGTTTGACTGCACGCTCGTTGAGGCTTCCATGTCCGTTTTCAAGAGGTTGTAGTCGTGAAGTACTTCATCGGAATCAGGGGATGCGCCCTTGAGTTTACCGAGAACTTCACAAGCCTCCTTGTCAAGTCCTCTCATTACAAACCACGATGGGGAATCCGGGAGCATCAAGGCACCGGTGGCCACAACCAGAGCGAAAAGGATCTGGAGCGCCACAGGGAATCGCCACTGGACAGAATCCGCGGCGTGCGAGATGCCGAAGACAACCCAGTAGGCAATAAACGTGCCACCGGCGATCATCGCTCCCTCAAAACAGACTAGGAAGCCACGATTGTGAGCGCCGGAGCATTCCGATTGCCAGACCGGGATCGTGGCCGTGTTCATGCCATTTCCAATGCCCGATACCACACGGCCAATGACGAACTGGCCAACTTCCCAATTACCAGTGAAGCAGACCGTTGTAATCAGGGCGCCAACGATCAGGACACTGGCTCCCATGAAGATCAGACGAGTGCGGCCTAGTCTGTTGCCAAAGAACATGGAGAATAACGCGCCGAAGAAACAGCCAATCTCATAGCAGGATGTGACAGCACCGCGGATGACATCGACGTAGTGTTTCTGCGCCCCAGTCGGATTGTCGGGCATTTTGAGGATTGGAAAGGAGTTAACAAACTCGTCGCCGTTGAGAAGGCCTGCCATCATGCCCTGATTGTAGCCAAAGAGAGAGAACCCCATGACAGCGGCAAAGGTGACGCTCAACCGGAGCGACCGACCACTCAAGCCGCTGGTAGTCGTCCACATGTTGATGGCAGGAACAAAGAGCCGTCAGTTTGTGGGGGTGGAGTTGGGGTAAAAGAAAGCTGGGGAAAAAGTAGTAAGGAAGGAAGGAGTACGTGGAAGCAGAAATATTCGCGGTCTTATAGCAATACTGACTTCTACTGCAACCTTAGTCGGACCCCAAAACAGCAAGTTCAGCGACCCTTCCCGAGGGGAAGACGCACCAAGGATCCCGTTCCCTTGGCACTTGGCGGAACCAATTGGCACTTTGGTACTCTGCAGATCGCCTGGAGCGTGTGTGTGGATGACTAAGTTTGAGGCCGCTAGGGCCTGATTTCCAGTATCCAGTGTAGGTTTAGCATATGGCTAAATTTCTACTTGACATTCTACCGTTATTTCCTCTCCGTAATAATGGATTCACGGGAGCCTGCCCCTCTTTGGACTTAGGCCCCCGGTGGGTTCGCTCTCTGGCGCGCATGCTTGTTGTCCTACGACCTTCATATGCTTACAGATCCATTCAGACCTTTCATCCATCTTTCTTTCTCATTTTCCTTGTTCCCTCCGCTAGCTCCCTGTAGTCATCGCAATCATCGCATACTCTCCTCCCCTTTGCGACATGATGTCATGTTATGCATACTTGCATTCTACGATACAGTTTGCATCTGGAGCTGCCAAGGACTTAGTCGCCCCAGTATGACGTCGCAAACTTTTTGCTTAGTTCCCAAATTCAACGCCGGTTCGAATGCGCCCGGCTACTTACGAACCTTCGGGCCAATGACATGAAAATCCCTTGTGGCGAAACACAAGGGGAAATTTCGCTTAAGTGTCTCTTTGTGTCAAGCCACCCGCCACGCGGTCAGGTCGGTCCGCGCCCCAGGGCTCACAGCGGGACTCCTCATATCCGGGGCTGACCATCTGCACGTGGTATACCGTCGTTTCAGGGGATCACCGGCCCGGGTCATCTCGGCTTACCTTCCAAACTGCCCCCATCGCCTCGAGGGGGTTAGGTGGGGTACTCCGTATGGCCCACATCCTTCCTTAACTATATCTGTCGAGGCGTAATGGTTTCACCTTTTTCAGGTGGGAGAGGCAGAAGTGACGTCACTGCCTTTCCCTGACCTTTTTTGATGTGCACTGGTGTGCTCGCAGGCTCGTGGAACGGTTCATTGGAATGAAAGTCTAGGGGCTTTGACATAATGTCTTTCCGAGTCCAAGAGGTGGCCGTGCTTGGTACTCTGCAATCTTTTAGTTGTTTGCTGTATCAGCTTCTGTTTGCGAAGGCCAAATTCCAAAGGCTACTGGAGAGAATCCTCTGTTTCAACATGAATACCTGGAGCGAAGAGAAAAGGCGCACAAAGCGGTGGATGACCTACTGGTAATTTGACAATGAGATCAGAATTTGAATGTGGGGATGGTGCGGTAGTACCTCAGAAAAGGAAACGGGATACGTAAGTGGCTTCAGATATGTTATGGGTCAGTCCAGGGCAGTTTTGTCGCCTGGTGTTAGAACCATGGCCCGGCGGAGTGAAGATCGGCCAGCAGCCAATCTACTCAGTGCATTCAACAGATTAATGCTTTCACACCGACACTTTCAGGTTGCCAACTGAGAGAAAGCAATCATCACTTATTATTGGGTTGCCAGCACTACCGCCTATTCAATGATCTCTAGCTTACTAAATAATGACTAAGTGAAGTCGAACCTCACCACTGGCTAATGTATCCAGCAATACCGCCATTGGGTCCCCCGCTCCCCCTCCCACCAAAACAATGAGTGTATGCAGCTCTCCGGAACCGCAATCGCTTTCCTGAAGGCAGAGGAACGCCAGGTGTAGGCAGAAGAGAGAGAAAGGCAGGCAGAAGTATGCTAAAGGCAGGAAGCCGAGCTGAGAAGATAGACAGAGGAGACCGAGAGGCAGGAGAGAGAACGCCACCATCCGATGAGTTTCGGAGAGTTCATCTGATTTTGGCATGATCGTCTTTGGCGGCGGCTGAGAGCCGAAGCTCCTTCTCGCTCCTTAATGGTACCTTCTCCCCTCCTACAGGGAAATACAACCCTGTACGACTGCATCCGTTGCTCAGTTATCAGACCCGACCTGTAATTGACGCCATTAAAGATATCCAATCATCATCGCAGAACCGCGTAGCTGAATGACCAAATCACTGCCATGTCTCTTCAGTGGTTAAAGAACAAGTTTCGTCAGTTTAGCGCACGCCTGTGTGGACAAGACTTTGACTTCTCATGTCAAGGTGGGGCTCCAACTTCAAAACATGCCAACGACAAGCCTATATCCGAGCAGCCGACAATATCAACTGCATGAGATTTTCTCCGGTTCCAAGTATGCTACGTGTGCCGAAAGGACTCAGGAATGTTGGCTGTGCGCATGGGCTGGCAGATCAAAGGCCGCCCATCATGGCTCGAGATCAACTCATGTGACCAGGCGGAAGGGTTCGGCGGGCAGATTCTCACCGCCAAAATATTCGCCAATCAGATTACGCCAAAGACCCTCTACCACGAAATCGCGTCCTCCGTTTAGTATGCAGCACAACACGACAACTTGGACTTGGAACACTTCAAGGGAGATTCTCCCCCATCCGGGAAGGGATCTAACATGCTCCACTCACGCATCCGTCCGCTAACCCGCCGCCAACCGGCATCTTCCATCTCCACTGAGTCTGCCCCTCCCCTCGACTTCCACGATGAAGACAACAGCAACGACGACTCCTCCGCTGAAGACATATTCTCTGCCTTCCTCTCCCATCTTTTCCCCGACGACGCGCCCTCCTTCCATGGAGACCCCGGCCAGCGCCTCCTGTACACCTCACCGCGCTACGGCGACCTCGAGATCATGGTGCCCTCCTACCCGGGCCAGAGCGAGCGCCGCTCGACGGAGATCGCCGTCGGCCTGCCGTCAGAAGATGGCAGCGTGAACACAGTCGACGAGGGCCGCAAGCTGTTTGCACATTTCCTCTGGAGCGCTGCGATGGTGGTTGCCGAAGGCGTGGAAAAGGCCGACACCCTCGCCGCGCGCGGCGAGCTCGACGCCGACACGGCCATGTGGACGGTGCGCGGCGAGCGCGTGCTGGAACTCGGCGCTGGCGCTGCGTTGCCTTCTGTTATCTGTGCGCGTGCGCACGCTGCTGCTGTCACCATCACTGATCACCCGTCGTCGCCTGCATTAACCGGCGCTATCGACTTTAACATTCGACGTAATCTGGCGACGACAGAAACTAAAGTCACGAGCCACCCGCATAAATGGGGCACGCTGGAATCGGACCCGTGGGCCGTCGCGCACCGCGGCACCTTCACCCGCATCATCGCGGCTGACTGCTACTGGGTGCGCTCGCAGCATGAGAACCTGGTGCGCACGATGAATTGGTTCCTGGCGCCGGGCGGGATGGTCTGGGTCGTGGCGGGGTTCCACACGGGGCGCGCGATTGTAGCGTGGTTCTTCGAGACGGCCGTGCAGAATGGATTGGAGATCGAGCGCATCCACGAGCGGGATCTTATTGCCACCAGCGAGGATGGGGGCGAGGTGCGGCGTGAGTGGATGCCCGAGCGTGAAGGCGAGGGGCCGGAGAATCGGCGGAGATGGTGTGTGGTTGCTCTTTTACGAAGGAGAGAGTAGCATCAGACTGTACGGAGTACAGTCTTTTGTTTCTTGCATAGATGTGGTTCCCATGACTGATGAATATATGATCTTCCATACCAAATACTTATACTTTATCTAGACACGCTAAAAGCACACCGTATAAACCTCCTGCCCCTCCCCCCCAACCCGAAACCGCGCATACTCAACCGTCCCATACACAACCAATCTATCCTCGTTCTGGGCCTGATCGCCCCGCGTAAACCACGCAACAAGCTCCTACTCAGTCCAAAATGCACCTGTCAATAACAGCAAACCCACCCTTCCAGACGGGCCGCCGCAAAATACCAGGGTACCGCTCGCACACGCGCCTCTCACCCTGGATGACCGTCTCCGAAGCGACACCGCATCAAACGTCCCCTTGTCCAGCGCAACGTCGAACCCCCCCGCCGCAAGCCCGAAGATGAGGTCGTAGAAGGGCGACGGGAAGGGTGGCTATATGACCGATGAGGAAGAGGAGCAGCTGTCCAAGGGCATGGTCCCACTGGCGGATCTGCTCAATGCGAACGCAGACCAAAATAACGTGAGTGCTACTTCCTATTCAAGTTGTAATGATTCCGTACTGATGTCTCTCTCCTAGGCAAGCCACGGTTTTCCGTGGACTGCGACCTGCCTGTGGTATGAGATGCCCTGCAGCAAGCCACGGTATTGCATAAACTAGGCGACTTCATGCCCTATAGAAAGCCATAGATTGACTGCATACCTTTTCCTACAAGGGCACTTTGGCATCCCTTATTTGGAGACTGTGATAGCCCTTACTCGGTAGACAAGTAGCACAAATTTATCAACCCATACCATCTCTTGTGCGTCCTACAAAATTAGGTCATAAGTTTCTAAATGCCTAGCGATCTGGGGCCTGGTTATAATTAAGATCCTAAAAAGACGTGCTAGGATATATATAACTGGGGACTGCTCGGACTCTAACTTCTGAGACGTGCTCAGAGGTATTTATATAACCATGTTGGCTGGGCAACAAACCGATCTTTGCTTGTAGACTTGATCATTAGAAATTACGAAACTTCGCTTCGCTCATATAGCTGGTGCTGGTAGTACAGTGAAGATAATAAAACCTTTCCCTCATCACTAATGCGGTTCCTAATTATGTCATGGGAATCACTATCAGGTCACCATCCTCAGGCTTGCTGCTGTGTCAGCGTGCTGGTAACCTGTACACACACACACACACAATTCATTAACACCCGGCGGCTAAGCTAATAGGGCAGCCATTGCTACTCTACTAATACATGTCCTAATATATGCTGTGTCTCCTTAAAGCACATACATGAATACTCTCAGTATATGTTATCTTAGCTAAAGAAATTTATCTTTTACATGTTCAACGATCTTTAGGTCGAACCCTGATGTCATGAAAGCAACACTGGAGACTCTCGCTACCCCCTCCCGCTTAAGATCCGAGAACATAGCAGTGTTTCACCCACACTCCATAACCAGTTGTTAAGAAGCCTAGGTAACAGGCTAGTTCACAAAACGCTGCACTACTTATCGTTTGATCAAAGACACTGTGAGTACCACTCTGAGCAAAGGTAGAAGACTGTTAGTATTGGAGGTGATTTCAATTTTGTCAACAGTTCATAAACTTACGGTTCTGCACTTGACAACTGGAAGGTGGGACACATTGAGTAGGTCCAGTCCAACCTTGACCACCACATTGTCCCCATTTCGTCTGTTGAGGCTGGGTAGAGGTAGTAGTTGTTGTAGACGGAGCGGATGATGTCGCTGTGCCTGTGCCTGAAACGGCACGAAGTCTAAAAGCTCTACATCCAAGCGCAGGGACAGACTGAGAAATAGTCCCAGTAGCTCCTGAAACCGTGCCAACAGCCGCTCCAAGCAGCATAGAATCTCCCTTTGAGAGACCGGTGGAGTAGCTTTGGGCAGTTGCGTTATAAAGCCAGGAAGGATGTGTAGAAGCACCGTCACTGAGAATAGTTCGTGCCTGGCTGTCACTTAGCCTTGAAGCCCACAAATCCCTGATTTCGAACTGAGATGCAGGGACACTCGAAGAACCAAATACGTCGGAAAGAGTGGCCGAGACTGTCGTGCTAGAGCCTCCAGTGTTAAGTAATACAAAAACTATATCGTTAATTGAGCTTCCAGTGGTAGATGCCAGTGGGCCACTCCACAGCTGAACGTTATTGCGTGTCCAACGGTAGGTCGCTGCAACTCCCAGTGGATCTTGATTGACAGCAATAATTGCCGGATTAGCAAGGATGGAATAGTCGCTCGGCGTTAACTTAGACATGTCGTTTCCCATAATTAGTGGGCTTTTCGAGACGGCCCCTTGAACAAGGAAAAGAAAAAATTAGTAAAACTGCTAAAACTCGACAGATCGAAATAGGACCGGGTTGTCATACACATGCTAAAATGTGCAACATATTCAGAATCAGACATCCCCCCATTGCCTACCTCCAGCATATCCATGTCGTTCCAGCCGCCTTTGGCTGAATAGGATGAGATCGCAGCTTGCATTGACACGATCTTGATCACAGAACAATCATATCCACCGTAATTTGGGCTATATACTCAGATCAGACCGGGGGGCACGAGCAAGCCAAAAGGGCAGAGCTGCTTACACTTGACATGCTGAGGAATCTCCATTAAAGTTATCGGAGATATCGCCCGTGATCCTCCAGGAATTACCCACGGATGGGCCCCAGATCCAGGGCTGGTCTTGACCCCAATTACAGATGGAATAGAGGATGTTACGGCCAGTTGCTGCGAGTGCCCGTTCCATAGCTGCGTACCTGCATAGTAGATCAATGTATCAGATAGTACTTTCAAATCGCTTTTTAACGAAATTCGAGAAAAGAGAAGTTCTTCTTACCGAGCGGAACTTGCTGCCTGCGTTCCAGCCTTACCCTCATTGTAGCAATTGTCATATTTCAGATAATCCACCCCCCATCTGGCGAAAGTTTGCGCGTCGATTGTTTCATAACCCAAGCTGCCGGGGTATCCTGCACACTTTTCACGTAGATGAATGAGTAACTTTACTGTCATATTTGAAGAGACAAGAACAATATATCTGAAAGCCACTTTTGGGAGGGAGTGTTTCTTACCGTTTTTGTTCCGGCGCTGGAATAGATTCCAAAGCCAAAGCCATCCGCATGAAGTTGCTCGCCCAGATAGCTCATTCCGTTTGGGAACTTGGTGGCATCTGGAATGAGAACTCCATTCGATCCACGACTAGAAGACCAACAATCATCCAAAACAATGTAGTGATAACCCAGATCCTTCAGGCCAGTGTGTTTAATAACACGTGCAGTGGAGAGGATCAGACTCTGGCTGAGGCCGCAACCAAAAGCATTCCAGTCATCTGTAGGCGGAAGAGGCGTAAGCGTTAATCTTACAGCATACCGAAATCTTCCGGTTTGTATGCCAATATATCTCTCAGCATAGCAGAAAACGTACTCCATCCCATCTGAGGTGTCACGGCCAGGCTATTGTTGAGCGCCGTGGCAAGCTGGACGAGGAATAACATTCCCCCTAAGAGAACCGAGAAACTCATCGTATTGAACATGACACGCAAGCCTTCAAGGGAAAAGTGAGGTTAGTGATTTTCGATAGAAGAATAATTAGGGTGGACATCCCTACGATGATAATGATCAAAGAACAACAACTGAGTTTTTGAATTGATAGAGGGTTGTCGCCCCGATTCTAGATATAGAAAAGAGTAGTTCATAAAGGTCCCTTTAGAACCATTAGGGACATCGCTAGAAGGCAATGACCAACAAGTATATAATCACTCTCGGTTAAAAGAGGACTACAATGTAAAATCCATCTCGGATAAAAGGGGACTACTTTTCTATAATAAACTTATGTGCATTGCAGTTCATTTGAACAATAATCCCTGTAATATCGGCAGTTCGCGTTTGGTGGTGAGCCGACTGCTTTGGGAGATCGTGTAACCCATCGATACAGCGGCCCGTTGTGCCTAAAGGCTTGCCTCATGTTTTACCTCTGAGACATGATTAGTTCTTGAGATCCCAAAAACCTTGAGGTGCAGTTCAGTTATGGGCCTGAGTGTCACAAGCTAGGATCTCTGTGAGTATCTTCACTGGTATATCCACTGCTGGTAGTGGTAGTTCTACAAATTGTGAACTTGGATAAGATCCCGTCTGGTGCGGAAGAATACAGGGTAATAGAGTTTACATGTAAACTAAGGTTTCTCCAGGACCACCGTTACCCCAACTTACGTAGATTCAGCCTATTCAATGCCTGGGTTCTTTATGTGATACGGGGCTGTACATATATAGTCAGCGGAGTGCGTCGAAACCCAGACCAAGTCTGCCCGATCTTTTAGATCGCATCTGTAGTCATGGCTCAGCGTCACCGGAATCCATTGCACAATCTGTACGATTATGCAACTCCACAGTTGGTGGCTGGGCCGCCCGCAACATATGCAGCAGCCCAACGCATGCCTAAGAGGTATGACTATGGTGAGCATTAAACGTCCTCCAAGTTCCATCTACGCCAAGCCACTGACAAGAGATAGCCATCGTGGGCGCAGGTGCGGCGGTTGCGTTCTGGCCAGCAAGCTCTCCGAGGATCCGCATGTTTCCGTTCTGCTTCTAGAGGCTGGTGGAGACGATACTGCACTCAGTGAGGCTAAGGTGCCGTTGCTATGCTCTGAACTGTTCCATACTAAGCACGATTGGAACTATTACACCGTCGAGCAGCCTAACCTAGCTTATCGCAGCCTGTATTGACCTCCGCGGCAAGATCACTGGGGGCTCTACGTCAGTAAATGCCATGATCTACCACTATTGTTCTAAGTCGAAGGTTGATAAATAAATGTGAAAGCGTCCCTTGATGCGCTGTATGGGTCTACATAGATCTTGCGCCGTATTTTCGATGTATGGAGTGTTTCACCTACAATGCAGCCAGTCCAGCTGTCGGCCCACAATATTGGGGAACAACCGGGGACTGGCACACTTCGGAAATTGGATTTTTATTGACCTGATGGACCGGCGTTCTTTGCTTGTGATGGCGTATTTTTTTGGATTGCTGAAGAAGAATGAGTCAAGCGAGACAAGCAGGGTTGTGGCACATTGAGAGCAGCGGGTCATGGAGCTGGGAGCTAGGGGATTTCCAGGAGAACATTTATCTGGCATTAGGTGGCCCGACAAACAAGGATCATGGCTGGAAACATCGCCTGCCTCCTGGCAGTCGTTCACCAGCGTACCGGTAGCGCTATGCCACGATTTGGCCCATCCAGACAATGCGTTCGCCGCCTTGAGTGAGTACCACCGACGCATCCGGAGGCCTCACAAGGACAACGAAGAGCTCGGCCTAATTTTCAACGATTACATGAACTGTCTCATGGGTGATCCCACCGAAGAGAAAGTCATAGCTCTCGTCGATCCTGCTGTGAAGCTGGGTGCACAGTTCTTTGTCATTGACTGCGCCTGGTATGCGGACGACAGCGGCTGGTGGGACGATGTTGGCGTTTGGGAACCATCGACTAAACGATTTCCGAAGGGTCTTAGATCCCTACTTGATCGTATTCGGAGCAAGGGCTCACGCCCGGACTGTGGATCGAGCCGGAGGTGGTTGGTGTTCGCAGTGTGGTCGCGAATATGTTGCCGGCGGACGCTTTCTTCCAAGAGAATGGCCCGACGCATCGTGGAGAAGGGCAGGTATCAACCAGATTATCGACACCCTGAGGTCATTCATCGCCTGAAGAAAGTTATCGACCACCTCGTCCTTAAATACGGGGTCGGATATTCCAAATTTGATTACAACATCGAAGTAGTCCAGGGCACAGATGTAAACGCTTTCAGCCCCGCAGATGGACAGCTCGGGCATAACCGGGCCTACCTCGAATGGGTTGGCAAACTGTACGACCGCTTCCCGGACCCGGTCATTGAAAGCTGTTATAGCGGAGGTCAACGCATGGACTACGCCCTCCTAGCCGTCCACTCACTGCTAAGGCGTGGCCATGTCGAGTAGTCAGTGTTACATCTGATAAGGATACAACCTCAGGCCGTCTTGGGAACCTCCTCCGTGGTGGGACCCCTGATTGGTGGCGCGTTCACAAGCAATGTCAGCTAGGTGATGGCGTTCCTACATCAGTCTGCCAATAGATGGCGACGCAATGCCCGTCATTTCGCTGGCTCTGAAACCCGCACCCCCGCTGCTCCCCGGGCTGACGATCCGCCAGAAGATCGCCAAGCTCGACCTCCTGGGGGAGTTCTTCCTCTTCTCCGCCCTGATCTGCTTACTCCTCGCCTTGCCGTGGGGCAACAGCAGCTATCGCTGGGGTAACTGGCGGATCATCCTCCTTTTCATTCGGTTCGGCATCTGCCTGGTCACCTGGGTAGTGGCCGAGGCCCTCACGCCGAAGACGGCGAACATTCAGCTCCGAGTGATCAAGAACCGCAGCGTCGAGGCCGCGATGTGGTTTATGTTCTGCCTGCTGTCCATAACGCTGATGCTGATCTACTACCACCCCGTCTGGCTGCAAGCCATCAAGAACAAGAGCGCGGTAGAGTCCAGTATCGACAACCTTCCGCTAGCCCTTTCCCTAGTGGCCGGCGGTCCGGCCAGCTGGTGGGGCGCCCTGGGCTACTACACCCCATTCACCATGGCCTCTTCGTGCCTCTTGCCCGTCGGGGCGGGCCTGGTCTCCACCTTCAAGGTCGACAGCGGCTCCGGAATGTGGATCGGTTACCAGATTATCCTCGGCTTCGGAATCTGTCTGGGGATGCAGCACGCCTCGGTAGCCGTGCAGGTGGTGCTGCAGCCGTGGGACGTTCCCATGGGCGTCTCACTGGTCTTTTTCTGCCAGCAGCTCGGCGGGGCCATCTTTGTCTCGGTCGGTCAGAATGTCTTTGACCAGAAGCTGATTGCCGGGTTGACGAGTGTGGTTGATGACTTGGATCCGCAAACCATTGTCATTACCGGTGCGACCAACCTGCGCCATATCGTACCCGCGGTGGATCTGCATGAGGTGCTGGTGCAGTACAACGATACGCTGCGGTGTGTTTTCATTGTTAGGACGATCATGTCGTCGCTCTCAGCACTTGGCTCGTTTGCGCTGGAATGGAAAGCAGTCAAGGGAAAGCATGGAGGGGAAGACGAGGAGGAGGAGGCCTAGTTGGCCAGCTTTTGGAGTCTATCTGGCTAGCAATTCTTCTAGTGTCTTTCTATGATGTCTTTCGTATTCCTAATAAAACTGGGCTGAACATGCTGGATATGTGGAAATGAGACTTGAGAGTCCAGTTGTAAATACCTTCATTCCCAAGCCATCCATTAATTGAGGTTTGATATCACTGCTTAGTGCACCCCTCACTGTATTGATTACTCCTTTGCTCGAGCCGGACTCAACGACACCCACAGAGGCTTCTTGAACCATATTCCACAAATCTTCTGATCAAACCAATTGCCGTCTCCCATGCACCTCCCGTCCAATTCTAGATCAAGATGCCGCAGCATGTTGGCGATGATTAGTCTAATCTCCGCGCGCGCCGGGTTGCGTCCCAGACAATTGCGCGTCCCCATACTCCACGGCTGGTAGATGGTCTGGTTGTCGCGTTGGAACTCGGCAGGAGCATCGTCGAGCCAGTGCTTGGAACTGAAGTCCAGGACTTGATGAAAACTTTTTGGACCAAGGCTGGCGCCCATCATGGAGATGCTGATGCTGGTCTAGCAGTCCACACAACCCCGGGGACCCCTTTGTCAGTCGCGAAAGAGACTTTTCTAAGAAAGCAAGAGGAAAATCAAGAAACGAGAGTACCTGTATTTTCTGTATCTGTCGCCTGCACTCCGCGCTCGGTGAATACAGCCTTATGCCAGATGCGGACACTCCCTGCTCTGTTATCAATGGCAAGAACGGTTATGTCCGTGGGAATAACTCCTGGGTTCTCGGACGGATGATGCGAGATTATGAATACTGGATGGGGCAGCCGGTCCGGGAACAAACAGAGTCTCTTATCGAGGCTCGCTGGGAGTTTGACCAGCAGCATGAGGAGAGAACATCCCCCGGATCGGGGTGCCGAGTGCCTCGTCCTACGCAAGCCGGATTAGTTGTCAGTTTTTGGCAGCCACGCACCAGGCAGCCGCATGGGGAGCCCAGCCACGATCTGCCTCATTGGTCGGGTGTTATTGTCACGGTGGTCCAACTGGGAATAGCTGCGATCCCGGTGGGCCTTCGCGGAGATTGGGGGGTCATGATGGTCACCGCCGTAGCCATCATTCTCTGCTACAGCACCGGGGCGCTGCCGCATTGGAAGGTCGAGAAGTGGGCTTGTCGCCGCTTGGATACTCCGGACAAGAAGAATTTTATTTTGACGCGTGGAAACGGGTCCCAGCATGCAATTGCTATCACCAGTAACGGTCATGGCTTGGACCTGGAGGACCTTGCTACGAGGTTTGCGAAAATTAACTCCCCACCGATCACTCTCTTTGCACAGCTGGCCATTGTCAGTCTAGGGCTGTTGTGGGTTGCGCTCCTGATTACGGCATCTGCTCTGCAAAAGGACTCCTGGTACTTGATTGCGGTTGGGGGTATAGGAATGCTGCAAAATATCTTCGTTGCGGGCTGGAAGCGGGCACCGGCTGCCTATGGCGTTCCGCTAGAGTTCATCGGTGTCGTTGGCAAAGTCAAAGTTATGCAAACTTTGATGGAAGTGGAGAGAAGATATGAGAAGTTGGGGAAGAGCATGGTAGGGACCTTCCTCCCGGGCGAGTTACGAGATAGTGAAGTGAAGGATTGGGAGGCCATCGCGCAGGAATGGAAGGAGAAAAAGGCCGCCACCGTCAAGTCTGATGACTAACAACGGTGGTCTTTGCTAATTTTTCTGAATTATTATACCGCTGCACAGCAGACTAGCAGCTGCCGCGAGTCATTCGAAGACCTGATTACAGTCAATGAGGATGCCCGACGATGGAGGGAAGTAGTACACTAGTACTCGCTCGAAGCATGACTGGACAAGCCAGGAAAGCTGAATTATAGCATTTTTATATTAGACTACCAGTGGTACTCGCTAAGAGACCGTCTTATTGAAACAAACGGCCTTCTTGCGAATATGAGAGTACCTCAGATGGCAGCATGACTTTTTTCGATAGGCCATATTCGCCGGATTCTCCCATAAGGTTAACAATTGCCACATAATATTATACACCAACCTTAAATGGAAACATAATGATAACCATTCAATAAGTTGTCCACGCTTTAAATACGTGCATTGGACATTTCTATAATCTTTATCTATGGTGGATAGATCTCATTACATAAATAACTGGAAAATTATCATGCCCTCTGGGTTTGCTAGCAACAGCCTTTATTAGCAGACAGAGACACCCCTGCAAAATGATAATCCCATAATCCTTTTTATACATGCTTCCTCGGAGTCATTAACCATGTGGGAAGTAATTTTTCAGCTTCTCGCACCATAGTTAACTAATATCAACCTCCTGTAGATTAACTTGAACAGCCATAGAAAGACCACAGCTGGCTATAAGGAGTATACTCTCTGAAACCAAGCTGAGGATGTTCTTACTATCTTAGTACGAATAATCAGTCATTCTGCCGTCTGCAACACTCTGCCAGCCTTGGCCCCTTTTTTTTTTTTTTTTTTTTTTTTGTATTTGGGGGTAAGGAGGGTAGACCAGAAAACTGTCTCGGCTGGAATCTAACAATAACTGTTTTGCGCCGCATAACGGGACATTCCTGAGTGTCTTGCAGCCGTACATAGAGGTACATAATCATGCAGGTAGACATTCCACGTGTCTATCTATGTACCTTAGGAGATGATGGCTGTTCCTTAAGCTGGGCTCTCAGCTGCATTAGACGCCGCTCGAGCCTTGCCGCCAGTCCCGAGCAGTATTAGCCTACGGGCCCCAAAAATACCAAGTAGAATTAAAAACAGTTGTCAGTAGTAATACTATTAATGATATCTGACTGCCGATCCCCACGAAAACCGGAAAAGTAGGTGAAAGCAACAGACAAATCCAAACGACGATTGTGCCCTCTCTCCAGTGACTCAAATAGGGAAGAATAGGTTGATTCCATTGCAACGCCATGGACATTCTTGACGATCACTAATCACAAGGAATAGGAGACTAGTAAATTCGCCCCAGCCCCAATAACTACTCCGAGTACTTAACTCTGACGTGAGAACTAGTTAACTGAATAATATATGACAGATAAACTCAGACTTGTTGACAGAACAACCAGCAGCGACAGATCATCGTTATGGAGGGTAAGGGACTCCAGGTTGAATACGACGGCGAGGCTTAGCGGGACCACACAGACCCCGTCTTACACCCATGCTCCATAACAATGCATTATATCAGCTGAATAATTCGGGCAACTAGTAACTAGGCGGTTTTGTCGGGCGCCGCAAACTCTGAAAGGGGTGTCCAGATTCCTGTCAGACCGCAGTATGTATTGCGCTGATTGGGTGTTAAAATGAATCTGAAATATCATTTACCGAGTTGGAAACTGACCGCCGAACTAAGCATTCGTTAGCTAGCTTTGAAACAGGAGGCGGATTATTAATTTCCCCAAATTGCGCGCGAGGCTGAGAGAGCCCCCAGGCGAGGCTGAATGTTATATAACCGGGGATGCTCGTCGCTAAAAAGTACTCAGGAGGAAGATAAGAACGCTCCATAACAGGGGTGGAAAAGGCGGAAACATGGAAAAGACAATGGCGACATCTTCGCAGTCTCCCATCTCCAACGGGCAGCAGCAATACCACCATGACGATAGCCATTTCCATCTCCCCTTCGTCGGAACAAACAGGGCAAAGAACCATCTCACCACACAGTACAATGGCAAATGGTCGATGCGAGAGAGATTCCGGCGACCGGCCATAACCGCAGACCAGCTTGATAATCGCATGCGACAGCTGGAAGATGGCCGCGGCGTGTACAGAAAGCGACGGTATCGGAATCCTGATGGCGATAACTCGCACGAGAAGTATCCCGACCTGGACACGTACTACAGCACCAATAAGGAAATCCCTCGCCGGCTCGCTGTGCAGGCGACCGCGGAAGCGCATAATGATACTCGGCCTCGGCATTGGGGTCTGCGTAAGATCAAGGGTCACTCGCCGCTGATTATTCGGTTGGCGGACTTTTGCTTGAATCCGCTGGGGTATGAGTATGACGACGAAGGGGAAGATTATGACGATGACGAAGACGATACGATTCCCCATGAGAAGAAGAAGGAGAAGAAGGGTTTCGGCCTGGTCATGAAAGACCTCTGTCGACGGACACTGCATGCCCTGGCGTCGACGGTCTGCACGATTCTCCTGGCGTGGATCATCCAGTTGATGCTCTCTATCCAGATTGTCACTGCGCCATGGACGGATGACGGGTCGACCGAGCCATACGCGGAATACGAGAACGTGCAGTGGTACTGGCCTAAACATGCAGTCAACCCGCTTGATCAGGCGCCGAACAACGACAAGCCGCAGTCGCAGGTCGCCCGACTGGCGATCCCTCGCCGGCTGGTGGTCAAAGACGCGGCCACAGGCCAGTGGGTGGCCAAGAAGACCAACGGCCTCCGTGATCCGAAGACCGGCCTGCTCCCCCCGTACATCTTCCTCAGTTTCTCGCGGGCGAATTTCCTCGGCAAATCAGACGAGGTCTTGCGGCCTTTTTTCGACCGGGTCGCCGAGAGCCTGCTAGCTCATGAGAATGAGCACAGACAGGATGAAACGCCGGTGCAGGCGTTCTGGGTGGACGTGTATTGTGTCTCGCATGCAAGCGACGAGGATAGGACCAGAGATGTCCACACAATCTGTGATGCAGTTCGCTGTGCAAAACGCGTGTATGTGGTCCTGCCCAATGACGATCCGGAGCAAAAGAAAATGTGGGGTGCGCGCATTTGGACGTTGCCGGAGGTTTTACTCGCGGCGGACAAAATTCGATATTGTTTCTCGTCCCCACCAGCAGCGGGCGAAGGATACGATGGCCAGGTTACATCGAGACCACACGAGCTCACATTAACCGATATGCTCGAGAGCTTCTGGCCCGGGTCCAGCCCCGAGTCGTGGAATGAAGACGACGATGCCGAGAAGGACCGCAGGCTGGAGCAGAAACATGAAGAGGCGATCAACCACCTCATCAACCATTACAGCAACTCCACCAAACTGAGCGAGTTGCAGCTGTTTACCTGTGCAGTCCAGGCCCTGGCGGAACGAGCCGAAGGGAAGTCGACCGAGGGCTACACGACAACCGACCTGGCCTACGCCGCCATGGGACTGTTGGCCTATCGAATCATCCCCAATGCCTCGGACAACGCCTTTCAAGCCATTGCTCGGCTCTCGCTGGTTAACGATAGCAACCAATTGCTAGAGCGCCTTGCCTGCCTGTGGCCGCATCCAGCAATGAAGAACGATCAGGAACAGGACCTCATTGTGGCCGGCAGCGAGGAGCTTCTGCGCAATATCGCGGATCGCGATCAATACTCCGTCCATCTCTGGGACATCCAACCTATGTGCGATGTGGTGGGTATTGGTGATGACCCTTTTGCGCCCACCGTTATCCTGGACCGCTGTCGAGCGATCCCCATCCGGTGGAAGGATTTCCCAAAAATCAAATATGTCAAGGACCTCAATGGTTTCCGTGCCACCGTATCGCAGAAGATCGTGTACTGCGGCGCTTGGTTCATAGCAACCGGATTCGGCCTCTTTGCGTCCGCAATTGCGCTCCTCTTCTCGGTCATGCCCTACTACAACAGCTACAATAACAGTGACAATCCCGCACCGCGGCGGCAGAACGAAGTCGAGCCGGCCATGTACCTCCTGGGCGTGGCTTTGTTCATGGGCTGTGGATGGGTTATCTCGTGGTTTAGTCCGTGGGCGGTGCGACAGCTCTGCAACGGCGGATACACTGGGGTCTCATGCCATTTGGTCGGGTTTGAAGGAACTATGCCACTTGGAGAGATCGAGCAGGCCATCTGTGGCTTCGATAATAACCGTTTCTCCTATGCTGCCTCGTCGACCATCTTCTCCAAAAACCTACGCCATGCCAAGGTACGAGCCGGCAGAGTCCCGGGCGAGGGAGGTTGGGCGGCAGAAGCCGAGCGCCTCGGAGTGCCTCCGGGCCACCGCCTGTTCACAATCGTGGATACAGGGAACTGGACCGTGTCGGTGATTGCTGCCGAACGACCACCCGTGGTGGCCTTGATCTGTGGCCGCGAGGGCGGTATGCTCCGGGCGCTCCTGTGTAGCTGGCGCTTCGAGAACAACTGTCTGTACCGCGAGTGTGTGGTGCGCATGCGGAGCTCGCTGGAGCACCTGGCCACGCCGAATGACTGGCTGAAGGTTAGCTTGGCTTGCCAGGGTGATGTGGCTCGCACACGAGTGAATCACCGAAGCCGCGAGAAGCATCAAAAGCCTGAACCCTCTCCTCAGATTGCTGTTTAGGCGTCAGGATAGTCGCTAATGTCGTATCTTCCTACCTGCCCATTTATAATATCATAAGGCCTCTATGGCTATATAGCCCCTGCGTCGCTGAGTTTAAACACAAACAGACGGAGAAGGCGTAACATGTACATTTGCGTCTATGTTGATTACATGTGACTACAGTGGGGTGCATATACAAACCTTTCCAATAGTATCTTTATTCTATAACACTTAAGTCGTAATATAATAGAAATCTAAAAGTGGGTATGCTAGCATGCTTTAGGAGCCTGACTACTTTTAAATAGAGTTGCTTTCGGTCCGAGTTCGGGCGAGCTCAACCTCTGTTGGGACTTGGAACCGAACCGATCGGCTATCTTGGCACTCTTTTGTTTGGTAATCACTAATTTTAAGGATCCCTCGAGAAATTTTGATGTCACTCGATAGCCTAGTTTCTAGTCTATCTAAGAATGAAATTCTGATTCGAAACATCTAGTGGTTGTTGAGATATAACGGGGTTATCTTCTCTGTGAGGGCTGGGTATGGAAGTCGTGGTTGATTATATAGATGCGCATCGGCTTTACGACAGGTATCATACTTCGAGAAAGATCTTTAACCACCACCCATTCAACCCTATAGATATTGAATTGATATTTTAAATATAAATCAAGATGGCTATAATTACTATATATTTCATATCAAAATTATAATACTCTATAAGCATGTTTGCTGGGCCCTAGGCATAGGGCTAAGGTAGGAGAAACTGAAATCCAAAAACCATTGGAATCTTGGTTATAACTAGGCCTAACTGCCTATCTAGGGCTAGTGGCGGTTTTTGCAGTTAAACTCGCACCAAATCACTCAGGGTCGGATTCGATTTTAGCGGATTGGTTATGCAACTCTCCCTATATAGAAGGGTTTGAGAAGTACAGCATACTTCAATACAAACTATATTTAGTAAGAGTCAATACACAATGTGAACTTACCAAGACCATTCGGTATATACACCCAACATATCCATTCCCCTTCCATTCTCATACGACCATGCAGGCTTCATACAGCATTCGCCTGAATTGGCCTCTGCCTTGTCCTCTCCACCCGTCCTCCCCTTCATTCAACACAATACCACGCCGACCCTCGACGAGCAGATCCCAATGCACTCCCTACAAGCCCCATGGTGAACCGGGAAGCTTTGGCTCCTTATATATGGGGAATTCAACACACCAACATGCCTGTTGGAGCGAGAAGCTCACCCATTCACGATGCCCATTGGGCTTGCATGCTGGGTGAAGGGCACACAAGATCTGTATGGCATCAGAACAAAGATCTGGTAACTGTGCTGGTAAGGAAGGACAAGAGACAAGCCTTATCGTATATAATACCCAGTTTATCCCTCGTAGATGGTGGGGGACACAGTCCTAGAGTGATGTAGTGGCCAGAAGGGGGGGGAATTGCAGTATGGATGGAATACTGGCTAACAGGGTTGTCCGGAGCTTGCTTGTAGGTGAGTCACCCAAGGCCGCATCCCCGTTCTCATCTAACGACATGTGATTTGGGTGTGAAGCCTAGCTCGACTTGCTCAAGATGTCTCAGAAAGAAGACACCACAAGTAAGCGATGAAAAGAAGCATTGAAGTGGAGCGGATTAAAGGATGAGCAGCTGACATGGAGCTAGCAACAATATCATTATTAAGTCAACAGGAATATCTGCTGTGACGAGTCGTGCCGAGGGCAATAAAAGTGAGAGCCGAAATTGTGAATGAATGGCTACAACTGTGCATAATCATGGCGCAAAATAGACTGGGTCACAACTAGGGAATACAACAGGAGAAAACATAATGCTATGTTGTCCTCGCTGCTCTACTTGCCAAATTGCTTCATTGGATAAAGATGAACGAAGAAGTCAACTGTAGCAGACGGGACAATGAACTCGAGCATGCCATCCACCTTGTCACCTCACCCCGGCCACGAAATATATAGAGCTGCCTCGGCGAGACCAGCGTTGTCCACTGTGTATCAAAGTCTATCACGGCCACATGGATGGTCTCAGAAAAAGAACCGGCTCACGACTATTCCACCAGGATATAATGGTGCTAATGGGCATTTGTCACCCTGGTAGCGATCGATAGGAAAACATGGGCGAGCTCCACATGCCTCTACAAACTCGTAAATGATGGTCCAAAGAAGCCCATGCTGGTCACTGACAATCATATATTTTATTGGCTAACTAGTAAGGAGCGTGGTCTCTTGTCACCGCCCACCTCAATGATCCACGAAGCTTCGAGCGCTGTTTGAAGTTGAAAAGCTACGAGACTTGGGGGCAAATTGCCCGATTTATTTAGCATGAATGCCGCCCTTGGGAGACGAGCATACGAAGAGTCTCGTGCCATGGGTGTTGTCCAATCCGGTGGTGCAATCATAGGTATTTCCGTTGTCGCGAGTGCAGGAGCCTTGAAGCGGCCCTCCGTCCGCGGGCGTCAGTTGGTAGCCCGCGTTTTCTGATCAAGTTGTTAGTTAAGATGTCACATAGAATCTTGCGCACTTTGGCTCGATACCATAGATAGTATAATGCCCCCAGTCATTGGCAGCATTCATCTCCAATTCGGAAATGTCCCAAGTAGCGACGTCGGCGTAGTCACCACAGCCGTCGCAACGCGCATATCCTGCGCTCGACGCGTCCCCTACAATGGAAAGTGAAGCATAGTTGAGGTTCACATCATCGCAAGAAGGCGGTCCATCGAAGACGCGGATGTTCGAGATGGTGTTCTCATCTCCAGTTGGGCTCACAATAAGCTGTTGTTCATACTGCAAAGCGTGAAGCACACATGTCAGTTATCAACCGCGCCACGAGATCACCAATCCAAGCATTCCACATACGTAGATTTGGAAGTCGGCAGCCACGCCAGCGATCAAGCACGCCGTGACGGAGGAAAGAACACTGCATAGTTTCATGTTGATGGTTGTTCAAGGTGCTGATGGATGTCGCTTTGACGGGTATTGTTCACTGATAAGCTGAGCTGATGGAATAGCAGAGTATAGAAACCGGCACTGAGCAGCCTTTATATACCTTCTTTTCTGTCTTAATGTCAAGAGTTATTAAGAGCAACCAATCATAGGTTTGATGCAAATAATGGTTGAGCAATGGCCCACGGGTGAACTTAGCGCACAAACATCATCCCTGGGCCTCATACAGCCTTGTGATCGAGACCTTCGCCGTCGCCTCAATCCAACAAAACGCATAGGGTTGTTCCTGTGTTCGATCATTGCTCAATATAGAAGGCACGTATGCGGGTGCCTGACTCAGTGCCGCCTCCTGTGAGAGGAAACAGGGCAGTCAGTCTTTTAGAGTCCCTTGGCAGTCTCTAGCAACCTCCTAATGACATCACTCAGACTAAATCATAGTAAAAGAAGTGAGTGTCAAATACTACCTTCCCATAAGAGGAAAGGGGGGCGGCTTCTTAGAGCTCTTGGCACTCTCTAGCAACCTTCTAATAGAATGATTCAGTTCAAATTCATAGTAAAAGAAGTGAGTCTTCAATCTGCTAGAAGCTGTAGAGAATGAGACAAGTGTCCTGTCGCAAGTGTGTGTCTGGGGAAATGCAATACTACCTGTTATGCTGTGTAGCTCATTGAAATAAGCATGCATGCAGCGCAGTTGCAATTTTATTGCTTTTCTCTAGCTTGAATGATCAGCCTTGAAACAACCCGAAATAGCTCTGCATGTCAAACATCATGTCAGTAGCTACGGATGAGATTTAGACCTGGTATTATTGTGGGATGACTGTTCAGCACTTGACACTGTAAAGTCCAGCATACACGTTGCTTGTGTCTCTGATGTTGATCCCGCCCTGTAGTGGTATAGTAGAACAAAACCAGTGGCCAGGGTTCGCCGCGCATGCTGCGACTCTTCTTACCGAAATAGCTCAGGCAGGTTCTCAATGTTTCTCACGGTTTTGGGGCAACTACGTAGGCCAAGACCGGATGCTTAAGTGGTCGTTGTGGTTTGCAAGGATTCTTCCAACCTTCCATTGGAGAGAGGGGGTCTTACTGTCGGTCTCGGACACAACCAAGGCGTCCCAAGGCGTCCCAATTATTCTGGGAGACACTTTAACCCATTGGTCGACATGACACGAATCATACATTTAGCTCAAAGTCAGAGCTGATCTTAGAGTCTAGATACCCCAATTTGGAGCATGCATAATATCGCCCAGGAGTCAGGTAAGTTGTCCAGTTGCTGCGATGGTTGTTCGCTGGCGAAATGATGAGAGGGGAGAGATACAGACCGTCGCACGAAATACATTCTACAGCAGTAATCATGGTGCACATGACCCCGGCGCCCCTATAATTTCGCAAGTCGTCCTGACCTAGCAAGACCTTGGCGGAACCCCGCATGCAAAGCATGACGCCAGTCTCATCCATGTTGTAGACATTCTTGCGGACAACATCGGGATGCTCTAACACCTTTCTGATCACCTCAAGCCAGCGTATGATCTTACCATGTATGTCATTGTCATGTCGACTCCGGTCTACCGCTTTGACCTTTCTTGGCTTGAGCACTGATGTTTTTCCTCGAAGGCCTTTGGACAATTCTTGTCCGGGAGCTTAAGATCTGCATCGACTGAATCCGCTGGTGAGCGTCGACGTCGGATACTGAACGCCATGGATCGGAGATATTTCAAGAGAACAGGATATCCCGGATTGGCTGATCGTTTCAAATTCAAATACTGGGCGAGAGCCTTTTCTTCCGCCGGCGTTAGACACTGTTGGCTTTTCGCCTTGTCTTGTATGGAGCGCCGTCCGTGGGCTCGATGCCACATGGTAGCGTAAGCGACAGCGCCTTGTGTTGCTAGACCACGGTAGGTGCAAGGCCGAGATCCGGGGAGACAATCGGAAAGGACTTGACTGGCGCGGTCCATATTAGCTTCCTATGGTGATGGTGGTAGGGAGGGGAAGGGAACGAAAGCGAGTTCAGCGGCCCGCCATCGTCTGAGGTGGGAATAGCCAGACCCCCAAGGCGGTCAGTTTGGCCCCATCTATTTTAGTTGTCTGGAAGAGTTCTTGAAGGTTCCACTGGGTGACAAGCGAAGAGAAAGTTCTGGCAGGTTGTGAGATCATAACGCGGAATTCTTAATGAATCTCAAACGAATTTCCGAGTCAGCTCCCATCTTTTCGACCCAGTCAGACACGCGACGCGCGACATGCTACTCAGCGTCAGGGCACTACGTAGTAGTCTACTGTTGACTCCGGTGGCTTTGTTAGTAACTTAGTATAGTGGGCCTTGCAGGGATTTGAATCCTTCTAGTATCTATTGCCACCTTCCTAATTAGTATTATATGAAGCTAATAAGACCTCTTATCTTAGTGATCCTATTGAGTAATCAACACCATGCCTACCCCTGAACCTAGCACCCCGCCTTAGCAGGCAGCTGAGCAGAGGAGTCACCTTAGCTGTGATGATTAAACCTGTGTCCTTACCCTCTGAGATGCTGGCTTCACCTACTAAGATTGTAGATTAGCTTTACATTATATATCGCTACTTCACTAGGTTTAGTATACCTGTTAAAATTAGTAATAATATCTAGGAAGGCCCTTAGGCAGTAGCGAAAGCTCTCCAAGGATGTAATAATATTATAGTATTTATCTCTTCCTCGAAGTAAAATCACTTGCTTACCTTTCTATAAAGTGATAAACTCTATTAAGAACTTAATCTATCTATTAGGCTAACTGACCTTACTCATGCATTTAAAAATAAGGTTATACTTACTATTAACTATATTGCCCTTTAGAAACCTTCTTTATCTAACTAGGTCACCAGAATAAGTATGTACGTCTTACCTAGGTATTATGGTATATAAGCTAAATAATAGAGTAATAGATTTAAATCCTTTAGTCTAATAAGATATAAGTCATATTATGCTTCTAGAAATAAATCTATATAACTAGGAAGGGTGGTGTAGAGCTAGAGGAGATATATCTTTGTACCTCTCGTCCTAAAAGATGTGGATGGATGTTCTAGAGCTTATTTCATAGTTCTACTAAAGGGCTATATCTATTTTAGGAGAAGGAATAAGGTATAATTAAAACAAATAATATACTAAGAGGGTGTTTCCTCTAATAGATGGATATCTTTACCACTTTATTCCTCTAGATAGATGAGAAGACCCTATGTAGTTTACTGTTACTAATTGCAAGAGTGAAAATTTAGGATAATCTGGAGTGTATAAGGTAGTTGTCTGATAGCGATGAAACACCTTTATTTGTTTCCTATTATATGCTCTTGAGGATTAGAAGGCAGTCTATGCCTGCTGTGGAAGAACTCGAGCTTTGCTTTCCAAAGACATGATGAAGAAAAAGTCAATTATATTCGAAGGCTACCAAAAGGATGCTCTCTGCCGAAAGAAAGGTTTTCTGAATGGATGAGCTCAAATTTATAAATTCTTCCAGTCTCCAAGAATCTTGTGTAGTTTCCCTTTCCTTTCCTATAGCTTGATATACATGATACTAAAGAACCAGCCAAGGCAGAAAAGGTAAGTTTCATATTTGCATAAATCTCACCTACAATGAGCCCACAGCGAAACCATAGATGAGCTGCTTCTTGTTCCTTCACGTCACAGTCTCCTGGGAATGTGTGCTAGTCTTCGCGTGTGCCCACACCGTCCATCCATATTAAGACCATTTTATCCACAGTTACCAGATATGTTGGTTGCAAAAATCCAGAATGGGCTGAATATATATGTCCCATCCCGGCACATCAGAGCTCTATATGACTAATTAGCGAATGCATTAGCATGATACCTGCTCCAGGGGTTACTCACAGTATACTTGTGATCGAAGACATGATCTTCATTAGGCTCGTAGCTTTCGACGACCGGTACATTCATCGCCTTCAGGCGCTTGCTTAGCCATTGCCTGGCTTTGTGCGACCGGAGAAGCCCTATCACCCATGCCATGCAGGAAAGCCATGGGCGGATACCATGTCTTCGTCTCGAGAAGCGGAGATGGTGACATAGATAGCAGAAACGCAGTCAGGGCCGCTTCATCCGCAAAGCGCTCAGCATGGAGCGAGCCTAGACGTACTGACCTGACAGTAGAACCGATACGCGCAGCTATGTCAGATCGCCACTGGTGAAGCTCTGCCTGAAGTCGTATCCGACGGGTGAAGCGGACATCGGTCCCCCAGCGTCTACTCAGCACCTGCTCGGACGCAGTCTTATTCTCATCGGCCCATAGCGCATCCATCAACATGTTGGATTCATTTCGATCCTTTAGAAATTCCTCTAGCTGAGCATCAGAGAACTCGCCAACCCATGGCGGCGCCTCTCCAGAGTTCTCGGGAACCGGTGCCAGGATGGGCCACGCCGCTGCTGGATCAACTATTCCATAAACGAGAATGACAGCCTTTGGCGGTGGTGATAGATAATGTCCCATGAGGCCAGTGAGAAGTGCGCCGCCTGACTCACCGCAGAGGATCAGCTGGCTCACGTCTACCCTGTCTGTGCCGAGTATGGACGGGAGATTGGCCCGGCACCAACTCACAGCATCCATGGAATCCTGCAACTGCATTTCATAGCTTGCCTGCGGACCAAGCCGGAAGTTGTGTGATACCATATGGTAGCCTCGCTGGCGAAAGCCAGGCTGCATCCATGGGAGCGGCACGAAATGGTTTCCTGCAAACAAGCCGCCGCCGTGGGTGTAAAACACAACTGGAGCTGGCTTATCAACGGGAGGATCAGCGGGCCAAATTCGTACAGCAAGCTCTACGCCGCTGTCAGTCTTGAACGAGTGATCGGAGAAGCCTGGGGGGCAGTTGCGAGGCCCATATTCCGGGGCGTCGAGTTTTGCTTGATCGTCACTCATTGCCGTAACTTTGAAAGCTGTCCTCCTTTCAAATATGATATGGCCTGATATTGTATCCCGTTAATCTTCTTTGGGTTGGAAGTACGCCCACTTTGATGCCTTATAGGGTGAAGAGGCGCAGCCAATTTTGCCGGCCGGTTAATATGACACATCAGCAATGCTCAATGATACACGTATCATTGTTTGACTGTATATTCGGGTGCAGCATATAGCCAACGCGAAGTAGTATAAGTTATGTAGATCTATTTCTACTCTTTGCAATAGCCCTGACACGGGCAGGTCTGTCCAAGACACCCTATGTAGTCATCTATTTTATCTACCTTCAGCTTTGTTCCCAAGGCAAATTACTTAGCTATGCCTTACGGCATGCTATGTCTGCTCTGGTCATCAACATGATGACTAGATTCTGCAAATCTTGAAACCCAAGTTGAAGCCTGAAGAACCAATGACGAGTGTTTTCTCCCCACCGCCGTGGAGGCGCGTTTGAAGGAGAAAGCAAACGGGGGTATCACTACAAAAAGAAGAAGATTAACGTTTGAGTCAAGAGTATTGTCTCAACGCCTCGGAGCAAGCGGTGTGCGAATTGTCAAACCAGGGAAGGTAGCATGAATCTCCGAGGACCATTTTGCAGAGTCTCGTTTTCTAACCTCGAGTCAAACGGCGTTATAGTGCGGGAAGGAATAGCCCCAGTATGTAGCTGTGTGAAAGCTGGATGGGCATGTCCAGGCTATAGTCGCCGCCGGCGATTCGTTAATGAGATGGGTGGATTGACAACGCTCTACTCCAAGAAGAGGCGTGCTTTTGAAGTTCATTGTAGATTGGCATGGCTATAAGTGGTAGAGTAATAGATGAGGTCTCATGATGGCGTCTACCGCATACCGTACTATACCACACCAAACATTCTTATTGGTACTTCCCTGGTACATTGTTAGCTGTTCATGCTGTTTAGCCACAAGCCTGAAACCGCCATCGGCTCAACACCACAGGCTGATCCCCGAGATGGGTTTCGGGGCCATGGTATATGGAGACAATCCTCGATCGGAAAGCCCCGCAACTACTTTAAACTAATGAAAAGCGTATGCGGTAAAGTAGACGTGGGCATTGGATACAATACCTGGGCCGGTGGTTCGCAGGATTTGAACCGTGGGCACTCCTACCAAGTGCAGGCCCCCATGCGATGTCAGTCTCCACCGGGACCGCAGAGGTTAATTTCATAGCATTTATCTAATCATTCGACAGCCCATCTTGTTATAAGATGATAGCCATGCCGAGGTAACTGACTGTGTACAGAAGCTCGATCAGACGGTGATAAACGATGACGTCGCTTTCCCAGGGTCGTAAGCGCTGACGCCTGTGCATAGCAAAGGGGCGCTGCTAGTCACACACAATGCGCTTGACATGAGTAGGTCATTGCGGTGTCGAGGCTCTCAAGCCACGATAGCCAAGACGGGCAACATCCACCGGCTATCTTACCTGCCAGATGCTGCCAAAGGTGAATAATTTGTGGGTCTCCTGCGCCTCATGATCATGCCCTAATCTGATTAGATGGAGCATCAATACAGAAGAATACAGAAAATAAAATACATGAACTTCTGCCTTAAATAAATGAGGATAACCAATCAGCCAAAAGGCATCGTGAGTGGGTTGGAAGACCCACCAATTATTCATCTTGGCTGCATTTGAGGGGCCAATCTTTCTGACTAGGATGCGTACCTGTTTGTTTCTCAAAAGCAACGTTATTTGACCAGGCTAACTGAGGTGAAACAATGTCAAACCTGCACGCCTGCCTCCAAGCGGAAGCAATCTTGTAATTTTGCCTTGGTTGGCACAAACGTGTTGATATCCTGGCCCACCTCGAAATGTCTGGCCGAAAAAAGTACACTGTTGCCTGCACCTGTGCTATCTTGATACTTAGTACACAGTCTCAGCTTCTAGCAGCGTAAAGTTTGCTCAGTGAAATAGCCCGTACATCTTTCATCATGCAATAGTACTTTTCCTGATGGGCAAATGTGATCTCCTCGCTAGGCACCATAAGCACTAACATCTTCCAAGAAAGAAGGATGACGCCATTGACGTCCGATTTACCTAAGCCTCTTGTCACGCAGCCCATAAGTAAGGATATCTGGGCTTATCTGAAAATCAGAGATCAAGCGGACACCACAATATAATACCAACCATTCGCGCTCCGTTAACGCCAAAGCATGGATTCAGAAAACAAAGACGAGATTCATATCAAGCTTGCTGTGCCCACCCCTATCGTAGACTCGGTCGTATCTGACATCACGGAGCGTCTTCAAAAAGTCCATCCAGATACTAGTCTCACCTCGATTACCCAGAGCGAAGGCGCCCTTTTCTTCCACTGTCCTTCATCGGACCCCAACGTCCGGGACAAATTTGGGGACCTGTTCATCCAATGGCTGGACACTCGAGCGGTACCAATAACCAACTACAATATAATCCTTGGACGATTATGAGTTTCATTCTTCAAAACGGCGATTCTGCTGCTACCCGTTATCGCGGCTCTAAGGAAGCGACTCATTTGATACGAACGATGTCGGAGAAGGTACCAAAGGACGGTCCAGATCGACATAATCATCTCGGGAAACTCAATAGATATCTGGCTTCTCTGTGGGATGCTACAGATTCGTTTGATGACTTGGAGGACATTTTCTTGGGCAGGAAAACAGAATAGATCATTCCCGAAAATCATCCAAGCCGAGTGCACTAAACGTGCGTACCAGGAGCTTATTAGTAGTTTAGCTATACTAAGGTTTAAATTTTTATAGTAAAATTCGCATTAAATTATATTAGGTTATGGTAGGTTCTAAGTTCTAATTCTTTAAAATTACTAAGATTTAGTGCTAGTTATGGTAGGCTGTACCTGAACCAAGGCTGAATGCAACCCTACTTCCTCCTACCTATAGTATGATGAACGCGCCTGATATAAGTATAAATAGAGTGAAAGAAGTAATCATTCTGATCCATCTCAGGTAGGACCCAGAGTGTGAACAGCAGGCAGACTGGAGCCAGTATCAGACAATTTAGAGAAGGAGCACACACCTATGAATCAGTCTAGCTAATCAGGAGGCAGGGCAAATCCAGTAGACTCCTGCTGGACCACGGATTACGAAATAGGGGCACGCCTCTTAGGTGGCTAGTGAGAATGCTAGATATGATACGATATAATGCAACCTGCTATAGCACGATAGAGAGACCTCCATCGAAACCATCAACCACCTCCATATCAAATCTCTAAGCCGCATACCTAGAGCAAGCGCCTATCTGGTCATCAGAAAATCCAGATTGTCCTCAAACTTCGTCTGAATTCCCTCGTCGCCAACCTCAACCTGTCGATACGGATACTTCATGCGCGTTGCGACGTCAGTGTTCCTCGTTAAGAAGATATACCGTTCAAGGGCCTGAACCCAATGCGTTGTGTTAACTTGCCCAAACACCAAGAGCTCTAATTTCGGTAAGCCGTGCGGACCAAATGCCCAATTGGCAAAGGCTAAGAACTCGGTAATCTTGCCAGTTGTGAATTCTGATCTGTACGAGGTAAGGTCGACTACGGAGGTTGGTGGCTTGTTAAAGGGGCCATCGAAGTCGTAGGTGAGGTCGAATGTGGGATTGTGCGGGTGGTACTCTTCGTGTATGGTTGGTAAGCAGCGGATGTGGAGGATTTCCCATGTCATGGGGGGGTTTTGGGCTAGGTGGAATCTCTATTAGCTTGTTAGTGGAGATGATACTTTGTAGGAGGCAGCTCCAGTGAGGCTCTTGTTGTGATGTACCAGGGAGGGCAAATGATCACAGAGCCCGACGCATTGGAGATTCGCTTTGCTGAGCAGGGTAACGACTCCAGTATCCCAGACCATGGGGCCCACGGTTGGGTCCCACACAGAAGCAGTGTCGCTAGCAACATAGAGGTGACGATGGTAGACGAACCGTCTGATTTCCCTCCCCGGAGTGAAGATCGATCTTAGATGTGGCGTGAGCGAGGTTTGATCGGGGGCGTTTATGCGCAGGAATACATCTTTCAGATTTGGCATGGACAGGGCGAAGAACCGTTGCTGGAGTCGGCTCCACTGCTCGTCTACTCTGATAATAAGGGCAGTGAGAGGAATGGTTTGGTTGTCGGCAATCTCTGCAACTGTCTCTAGAATGTGGGAGCTATTCAGTTTCAATGTGTGGAGTTTGTGGAGTTGGAAGGCATACGCCATCTCGGTATGAGCATATTGAAAACCGACGCCGCAGAGAGATAATTTGCGAAGTCGTGGGAAGAGGCTTTGTGTGTTGTTCTTCTGCAACTGAAGGACCTTGAACGCAAAGATATTCCTAGCCTTCATCCAGTCATTGTGGAGGTCTCTCCATTTAGCAGTAAACCGGGGATGGGAGTAGACATCAAGTGTGAGTTCTTCTAGGCGACATGCATTGGCAGCAAAGAAGTGTGTCAGAGCAATATGATGATTAATTGTACTGATCCCTGTCCAACACAAGTTTCGAACATTATGGAATCGTGAAATCGATAGTTTGCGACTCAGGTCAGTGTCCTCAATGCACCATCCAGTTTTAAGCATTAAATGCTTGATGTTTCTCTGATGCCTGCGTAGGTACCCCTTAGAACCAAGAATTTGATGAGGGACGCACGCCTCAATATACCATCTGAACATATCAATAACTGCAATATCATTATAATCCTGCGTAGGGCATACCTAAAGGTCATAAGGCTATGCCTCTTCAATCCCCGAAACAACGGCATCAATGCACGTCCGAGATCATCTGCACACTTCCCTGCATGCAGGAAGCAATGATTCCATTCGCGATGATCACCACAATGACCAACAAAGATCAACTCCTCGACAAACTTCAGCATTCGTCGGCCGGTTAGGTGAGGCCGGATATTGATCTCTTGGACATTCTTTACAGAGCCCAGATCAACTGTCTTTACTCTGTAAATTTCACGCAGTTGGGGAGCTATAACGCAGTACAGCCGGCGAGAGAGTTCATAGAGATTGGTTAAGGTTTCGTTGTCAAGCTGTGAGTACGAAGTTAGCCTAGTGCCAGTAATGTGGCAGAATCGTCTAGCCTACGTATGCTGTGATTTGTAGCAGGATCTCGACGGGGAGCTGGGCCAGCATCATCACTATCCTTTGCCTCGACGCGACCCAAGAATGACAGGTGGCACGCGAGTGAGAGTTTAGGAGATTTGTGAAATGCCGCAAGAGCCGCTTGCGGCTTAATATAAGTCTGTCTATGACTAGTCTCTATCCCCTTGGCCCGTGCGCTTTATTTTAACCAGGGGAAAGGGAAAAATGGGAACCCCTGTAGTATACAGTCCGGAGGTGATCTGCTTAGGGGTTCCTAGGAAGTGAGAGATCATGGTCTAGACTGCGAGATACTAGTGTGACTACCCTGTAGAAAGTTTGAAGACGGTACAGGTCTGCTAAGCAAAACATATGTATGTGATGACAGAATGAACCACTTTGCCTTCGCCAAGCTGCCTCAGTTGACAGTTCTCCTATTTCTACGGAGCGTCTTCAGAATCCGGAGATACTATGCTCCAAGCGAGGGACGGGCTTGGCGATGAGGGGTGGCCGGCGGTTCACCACGCGGAATTCTTCTGGAAATACTCCATGAAAGCTGTGGACTCATTTTGACCCTCTTTCTGATCGGCATGGCCCCATTGGTTCAGTGCCCTAGCTGCTCCGTACAGGGATCTAGTATCCGATCTATCACAAGGTTCTTTCTGTATCTGAAAAGGAAAACTTCTATGACCGATGTAATTTTCAAAACACTAAGGAATAAATCTAGCCACCAGGTCACCTACCTGATAGATGACGAAATAGCCTCTCTAATTCAGGACAGCTCCTAGTGTGGGATAATGTTCTGTAAGGCAGTATGATTGGCTATTGCCATTTTGATCTTTGTATGATCATCGGCTGCTGCGCGTAAGTGGCGGGCTGAGCTATGGCCCATCTCTCCACTGATCGTCGTGTCTCAGCAAGAGGAAGCAAATAGTATCTTGGTAGAAGCCCGCATTCAGGCCTCAGCTCTGAACCTACGTGGCTCCATGGACTCTCTTGATAACTTAGTAGGGTTCCACTCTCGTCGACGAGATCCAACGCAGCACACAGGTGACGACCGTAGGATCGCTAAGAAAGCCTAATGAACCAGAGGGGCTGGAGACCACCCTGCATGTTGTTGATCCTAATTGCATTAGCATCCAACTGAGGAGTTATCATGAGGTCATATACGAAATTCTTTACCAGTTTGGACTATGCGACTCACGCACCACCCCCACACGCAAATCACAAAGTTATTAAAGTGTGCTACCCCGCGACCCGGGAAGAAAACAATTTTGTCACCTCAACGCGCGCTCATTTTCATCTCTCACAATGACTATCAGCATCTACGAGGAGTATGCCAAGCTCATGGAGCCTAATGGCGATGGTCACTATCTATATAAACCTCAACCATTTAGTAAGCTCCACCCCGGCGCGATCGGGTACTTCGACAGTCATGGAAAGTGGAACCTGATTACCGATATTTCCGTGCCTGGAGATCCTGAAAGCAAGGGATTCACAGGGCTTGTTCAGCCCCTACGGCGTACAAAACCCGATGAAAGCATGTGGAAAACCAGATCCTCGGGAAGTGAAGCTGAGGCAAGCTTCGGGCTCACTGGAGGACTTTCAGGGGCCCTGACTGCTGCCCCTATGGATGTATCAGCTAATGCAAAGAACAAATGGGGCAAGACCGGCAAAGCGGCTCTTATCACCGAGCAGGTAGTGATAAACGAAGGTTTTGAGAACCCTTTCACACAGCCGATGGAGGAATGGGTCAAGAAAAATGCCAAGGCTCTTGTGAGCTCCATCCATGGTGCCGATATCAAAAGGTACGGCCTGTGGGCTATCCAAAAGACATGGTCAACCCCGGAGTGTGCCATTACTATGGAAAGCGCGCATAGCAGGGACACCAGCGCGGGTTTGGACCTTGGAGCCACTGGTGTTGGGAAGATTGGAGGTAGTGGATCGTCCCTTGCAAAGGCCAACGTTGAGGGCTGGTCGACGTACAAAGCGGATGAGGTTTGTTATCCGAAGCCTTGAGCTAGGATTCAAGTTCTGACTTCATAAAGGACGACATAGCATACGTCGTCTCGTACTCCGGACCTATCTACAGGCTTCACACCCTCCCAGCCCTCCGTAAGAATGTAAGTGTCTCGCTCGGATGCTTTTGACCTGAACTGACCTTGGAAATGGATCCAGCCACTCAAGATAGTCCAGGAACAGGCTGCGGATGGTACCGAGTACTGCAAATTCGTTTACGATGAGAACGGAAACCAGACCGGATTTGAGTACTTCAGACCTGTGTATGACGAGAGCGGGAAGCAGATCGGAGAGGAGAAGATCGACAAAGAAGCCGAGAAGCAACAGCGGGAAGAGGAGGGGAAGAGAATAGAAGAAGAGGACAACCTGCTTGAAGAAGACATCGTTATCGAGACCGCTGGTACTGTTGGAATGACTAATAGTGACGAAGCAGACGAGGAGGCAGCTCGTGTCGAGGAAGAAGAGGGCAAGGAATTCAAGGAAAGGCTTGCAGCGATAAGTCAGATACCGGATGAAAAGCAGAAGAAGGCTGAGATGCTCAAGTTGATGAACGAGAGAATGACGGTAACGACCACATTTGAGACCATATCCATGACAGATGTATGATGGATTAAGCAGTCACAATTTACAGATAAGGACAGGCTAATTCGACAGCGAACTATAGCTACAGTGTGGACTTTTAGGTTTCTCGTATGGTTGCACGCAGAGCATTGATAGCAAATACTATAGTAAAAAAGGGATGAGTTCCCTGTGTAAACATCTGTTGCAGCAGCACTGCCAGGCAGAATAACAACTAATCAATCCCTGCAGGATCCATAGGTACCAGGTCTGTATGATACTCACCCTACACCCACAATTGTGTCAATTCTGCGGGAATTAAAGCGCATTTATGGATGAAAGATTCACCTAGAATTTCAGCAAAATCTGGGCCTCAGAAGCTTCCAACAAAAGGCGTCCACCATCAACAAAACCTTCGAGGGAACGCATACGAATATCTGGCGCAGAGGCCAGCGGTCGCGCTTGGCTTAATGATGGTCCGAGACTGATTTTGGTCCCCGCTTCCTGGAGAATGAAACAGTGACGCAACTTCGGAGGTGCTGAATGCGGAGGACATGATGCTTTCAGCACCGCCTCCGCCATCTGAATGAGATGGGTTTCGTTTGTTTCGACAAGTGGGTAGCTCAGGATCCGGTCGCTCAGAATGGTATTATCGTCGGATTGCAGCGCGACAGCTACTTTTGCAAAGGGCTGGATGGCAATCTTGTGAGTACTGCATGGGCTGAGAATCACATCTGTGCCCAATCTGAGTATATTGATGGTGCTGCTGTCAGACCCAGGAAAAGCGAATGAAAACGTCTCCATGATAATGAAGTCCCGCACTGTTTTTGCATAGGCTTCCCAGGGCTGTACAGCATCGCCCAGCCGGACACGTGCTGGCACTGTTGGTATGGAAAACTGGTTGATAGTCGGCTGCGCCACTATTTTGTGGCCATGGAAATGCGCCGGTCCACCGTCGAACTGGAAGAGAAGCTGGCCATTTTCACCATTAAGAATCGAAATCGTCCCCGTTCCCACCCACTTCTCATTACCACTTAGCACCACAAGCTCATGCTGTTCACCAATGAGTACAAGCCGTCTGCAGGTTTTGTTATGGGCCCAATTTCTTGCCCCGACGACGGATGACTCGTAAATAACAGTGGGGTTGCTGGCTCGAAAGTCGATGCCAACCAGATCAAAAGTGTCACGGTTTGAGCCCCGTCTCGCGCAATGCAGGACAGACCTCCCTATTAAGAGCGGAGTGAGCTCGCCTGGAACACCATATCTTGGGTCATTGTGCCTGTGGTCTTGCCGCCAGACAGTTTTGCCATCAACGGGCGAATAGACAGCACTTCTAATCGGCATCGTGAGAATTAGCGGACCTGGTCAGTGGCATATAGATTGTACTATATGATCATTATTATTCGCACCTGGCACGGTCTTTCCCTGTCTCTCTGAGCCGCAGGAGTAAAAGGCCCTCCCGATTCATCTCAAGGCACATCAGGACCACTTGAACCCTCCAGACCTTCTTGAGGGCAACTTCTTTAGTAAGCATGACTGCGCCACCGGGAACAGCAAGTTGATGCCAAGATACGGTTAATTCGTGTGTGATACTCCAACCAGCTACAAAGTTTCCGACGATGGTCATATCATAGTAACTCCGGAATCTGAATTCTTGCATTGATGATGGTTTTCCTGACTGAATGCAATGTTTTTGACGGGCTGTGAGTGAGTAAAGGTGCACAAAAAAATCAGCATGATTTGACTTAAGTTGGGTATGCAATGCATCAGAATGTATAATAGACTAAATAAATACCCACCTTGGACTTTGAACGCCTCCCAAATTGCGGTGGTTGACTCTCGTTGGAGATCCCAGATAATATGCGGAAAATGGACACGGAATCCGAATGCTGCTACCCACCAGTGGATGGTGTCTCTCCAACCTTTGCACACACACTCGCAACAAGTGAGATCCAGAAGCGAGAGATAATGTAAGATGAGATTCACAACATCTCTATGCATACGGGCGAAAGGATCCAGATTGGGACTGCTTTGAGTGCTCGTACTGGAACAGCCATCATCGACTGCTATTCGCTTTGACCTGCCGCTTCTTCTAAGCTGGCCTGCATCAACTGTGGATTTCCTTTTTCCTGGCATGGTGGGAGAATCTTGGGGGGTGTATCTTAAATTCAAAGAGAACTATACAGTCGGGTGCTCTTTGCAGGCACTGAGCCCTTGTGTGTGATCCCGACTTCTGCCAGGTGTTGTTGTCGGCTTATTCTCAGTCGCTCCTCGCCAAGTAAAAAGCCCCTGACTTGGCCACCACATGCTCTGGGATTCAAGATGGTCAATTTGAGGATATGCAGAATCCTCTTCCGTTCTTGGCGCTCGTGTTCGATCTTGGCACCTGAGACATACGAGATCGACACATCTCTTGGATGGAGTTGAAGGTCATTATTTTAAACACAGGTTTATTCTGTCTCTCTTTCTCCGTTCATACGTCCTGTTAATCTTCTCAGGACATCTTATCTGACATTTTAACTATTGCCAATTGATTATCTGACTAGTTTATAACTCTGAACATATAACCCTTGTGTATCTGAAGATCGTTGGTACTGCTGGGTGTTTGCTCCACTTCTTAATATGATTGTTGTGATTTTACGCTAGATTTTGAAAGAGTCAAATGTCTCAGAGGTGGTCCTGTTTGATTTCTTCTACCTATTTATTCCATTTCTCTAGGTGAGCGATCTTCACGGGTAAATAATTCCTAGCGGCATCCTGGGGCTTGAAATTGGCCTAATTGACCGGAACGGAGGCTGAAAATTGCTCCCTTAAGGCCTTTATGGAAGGAGTGAAGAAGTATTCACCACCTTTCTGATCAACCCACGGACTGATACCAAGATTAAGCTTAACAGTCTTGTCCGGATTGCTTCCATCATATAAACTGATGTGACCCTCGGGATGGTCGGATCGGAGTCTCTGGTTGACAAAGGGGTCCATACCAGGGCCGTCGGGGAAAGTCTTGGTCTTGTACTCAGGGAAGGACGAGTTACTCGCCCAGCCTATATTTATTAGCATCGTTAGCAGATCCCAGGAAATTGAATTTAAATGGTAAACTTACGAGTCATGAGGAAGTTGAACCCGTCCCGAATAAGACTCTGGTAGCACGTAAAGTAGATCCCGCGTTGTTCAATTGTTCTCTTCTCCTGCTTTTCCTGCTCGGTGAGTTCAGGACCAAAGGTGATCCCACGACGGAGGATGACACTAGCATCCTCCTCTTGTCCTTCAGCGTCAGACTCGTCACTGTCTGGCTCTGGAAGCTCCGTAGTATCGCCATCTTCTTCAGTCCCAACATCACGTTTCTTATCGGCTCGAGGACGCATCTTGCGGATGTGAGCGGCAAACGGACAACCTTTGATACTCTTCTTGGGTCTGAAATCAAACTTGTTGTCAAATGCCAAGTCTGGATTGTCCTCATCGAGGGCCTTGGCGACAGGGGCTCCTGATTGTCGATTAGTTCTTGCCTAGTCGGTGGATCAAAATATGATATGGGGATGGTAGGCCTACCGCTCTTCCATCGTCCCATTAGATGAGCACCCAGCTTCGCAGGACCATTGGGTCCCTTATAGTTGGTCCCTGGGACTTTCGGTGCCCACTCCTCGAGGAACTTTTCAAATTCGGGAACCTTTTGGTCGAGCTGACGAAAGACGAGGAAACTGCCCTCCTTAGCCCACTCCGGGCCTCTTTTCATATTCGGGTCACCTTTGTGGCCCAGAAAGATGTACCTAAGTCCTGTTAACGAGCAATTTACAATCAAGCTGTTAACAGGGTCTGACACACCCAGGAGGACAGGCATGGGGTTCACCCTTGGCTGGGGGATCATCCAGGCCTTTAATCCTTGGTTGGGAGATGTGATCCTCATAACCAAAGCTACAGAGTCAGCATCATTCACAGACAATAGCATGAAAGTAGGAGAAACCGTACTGCTCTTTGCCACGGTTTGCACCAGGACGCTGTTGGCCATCTCTTCTGAAGGCAATCTTCATACTGGCCCGATTGGCATCCCCAACATTGAAGGCATCCTCCAGATCATAAACCTTCTTGCGCACAGCTTTCGCAGTGTGGGCAGCGACAATGAAAACACCGTCGACTCGCCACTCCCAACGTTTGAGGCCTTCCTTGGTTTCGTTTCCAGGAGGAGCCCTGAAGTCCGGATGCAAAGCAGCAGGACTATCGGCACCTTCATAGACGAGGTCATCGAACATTCCTTTTTCAAAAAGACCTTCGTTGATCCTATCCCTGCAATAATCATCTGGATCCTTTTTCAGAGTCGCGGAAAATTTCGCTTCAACTTCAGGAGGTTCCACCTGAGAAAGTGTCAAAAAATGAATATACACAGCTATCAAACCAGTACGTAATTGGAGAGAGAGCAGCGAACCTTGAGCAAGCCCATGTGGGTGAAGGCGATGTTCACTGCGGTAAAAGGCTTCCGGTCTGCTTCGGGAATATCACGTCGGGAGCTGGCACATGCTTCTTCCAGCTCACCAGTTGACTTCAGGTGGTCCTCGCATTGAGTGCCGGTGGTGATCTCCCCATTGTCAAGGATATCTCTGAGGTGTATCCTGAACCTCTCTTTATTGGTGATCTTAAAGAAGAGGAAGGATTCATAGTACTTGGGAAGGCGGGGCCAGATGCTGCCCTGGATGTTGTCAGTGTCGACCACTCGCTCTTGCTTGTTGACAGGCATTCTGATCTATGCGCGCCCTGGAGAGTGTAAAGGGAATGAGTTCTGCTGCGCACTCTGAGTACTGATGGCCCCTTTTATGTCTGTAAGCAGGCTGAGGACGAGTATTCGATTTCATCACCAGGATCAGCTCAGCTCCCCCTCCTTGACCTCCCTCTATCCCTCCATCTAAATTGGAAACTGCATCATACATCACGAGCTAAAGCAATCGCTAATGAACAGACCATGATTTGTGGATTCCTCGACCAAGACAAGGTGAGGATCGTCTTGATGCAGGTTCCTTTCTCCACACACTGAAGCGGATCTGTCGCATGTGCGGCGTGTTGATCCACTCTTCCTGCCGCTGTGAGGATGGCGTCCAATGTGATCAGTCTGTCATCCACATGTGGTGACGGTGAGGAGGACGTATGATTCTTAGGCTGATCTGGCGGATCCCGGTGTCTGAGATCACACTAATCACATCCCATAGATTAGTATCCCGATGGATAGTAATTCGGATCATCATCAGCACAGACTGCAGCATTTCCTCAGCTGAACAGTGGGGTGTAGTGGAGTCCAACGTAATACCTGCAGACACGATTGCATGACCTTCTTGTATACCAATCTCATAGATAGCATGAGTACGGCGAGATGCGCATCCGGTGATATGACTTTCGACAATAGCCAATCAGATGGATTATATATATGACACCCTGTGAACCAAACTCTCGACTCAATATGATTGATACATGGAACTGGAAGGGAAGGATGCAGGACCGAGCCGTCCGCATGGTGGAGCTGAGCAGATCCACTTGGGAGTTCGTGGCGTAAGATAGAATCGTAGAAAGGGTCAACTAGAACCATGATCAGCAATGGATCGTCCGCCAGTCAGCCACTCGGGAAGGGCGATCTCAGCCGTAATAGATAATCGCCGAGGAAGCAGGTTTGCCGAGTTCCCGGGCAAGCGGATCATCCACACTTCTTGCCTTGGGATTTCTGCACTTCGTACCAGATTGCTGGTACATATTTCCCTCCGGCCCCATATCCAATCAGTACTCCTAGGATTACAGCATATCCATACACCAAGTAGATCGATGGTGTACCAGCGTAAGGTAATCGGTCTACCATATACCTCTCTATCATCGACACGCAGTTAGGATATCAGATCTGTCTGTGATGATGCATCTTGCGATCAACGCACGAGTGGAGATACAGGGGACTAGACATGCAATACAATCCCAACAAGGAAGGATTCGCATCCCTAAACTTCATACTGGGCCACAAGTGATGGTATAGGAGCCGAAAGATCAATCTCGTCACATCTCAGCCCAAATCCACCGATGATCCAAAGCGAACAGGTGTTGGTGGCGAGCTGCATCCCAACTGCCAGGGCAGCCACCGACATTACGTATGGCGCGCGGTTGTTGATACTTCCCATCCGGCTGTTATTTATAAGCAATCTCCTTTTCACTCTTTCATCCCATCCACCCTCATTCATCTGCATCAAAATGAAGTTCCAATGGACACATGGTCTCCTCCTGGGGGCAGTGGCTGTCGAAGCCTTCAAACCCGCTGAATTTTCTTATGAATCCTCCGAAGCGCAGCGCGTTGAGATTGCCAAATCAATGTCTGGCCGGATTAAATACCAGTCTCCTCCTCCCGACTCAGACCTTATCCCCAAAACCAACGCAAAGAACTCCAGTGAGAACTGGAAGGTCCAGTGCTCCAGCCAGTACGAAGGCAATGAGTGCGAATTTGCCATTGACGACCGGAGCGAAAGATACTGGCTTAGCGACCCTTCGAAAGAAGGGAACGCTCCCTGGATCGTCGTCGATCTGCGCAAAGAGTACTATGTTTCCGGTCTGACAATGCTGCCTCGTCTGGACAAGAGTGTTGAGCGTGGCCAGATTGGTGAACACCGTATCTCACTCTCGCAGGACGGCGAAAACTGGGCCGAAGTCGCATACGGTACCTGGGGGTCGAACAAGAGTCCGAAAATGTCGGCCTTTATCCCCAAGCCTGCTCGTTTTATTAAGCTCATTGCTGAGACTGAATCCTGTTCCAACCGGTCTCAGATCAAGAATGGGCCGATCTCTATCGTCAACCTTGCCGTTTACTCCTACAACGAAGGCACTTTCCCCAAGCACGAGCCCAGCAAGGGCGTTTGGGGTCCCACAATCAATCTACCAATTGTTCCCGTGTCCGCTGCGGTCGAACAACATGGTGACATTATCATGTGGTCGGCCTGGGCTGATGACCAGTTCTTCGCCTCCCCCGGTGGCAAGACCCTGACGACCACCATGAACCGCGACGGCATCATCACGCAGAGTCAGGTCTTTGAAACCAAGCACGACATGTTCTGCCCGGGTACCTCCATGGACATCGACGGAAACATTGTCGTCAGTGGTGGTGCTGACTCTGGTCGCACCAGTGTGTACAATGGCACGGCGTGGGTGAAAGGCCCCAGCATGGCGATTCCTCGTGGCTATCACGCTTCGACAACCCTCTCTGACGGTCGCATTTTTACAATCGGAGGGTCCTGGAGCGGCGGAGACAAGATCGAAAAGAACGGCGAGGTCTACGTTCCTGGGGAGAATGCAAGGTGGGAACGACGTCCCGGCGCCAAGGTCGAACCGATGATGACCGACGACCGTCTGGGGGCATGGCGGGCCGATAACCACGGCTGGCTGTTTGGCTGGAAGGATAGGAGTGTCTTCCAGGCAGGTCCCAGTAAGATGATGCATTGGTTCAATGTCGATGCCAAAGATTACAAGGGCAGAATCAAGGGTTCCGTGGAAGAGGCGGGAAGTCGCAAAGACGACCATGACTCCATGTCTGGGAGCGCCGTTATGTATGATGCCACCAAGGGCAAGATCCTCACATTCGGTGGCCAGCGTCACTACGACGGCTCCTACGGTTCCAAGAATGCCCATGTCATCACTCTGGGAAATCCCTATCAAGCACCCAAGGTCGAGGTGGCCGGCAAAGGCCCTGATGGGACAGGTGAAGGCGGAATGAACTTCCAGCGTGTTTTCCACACCTCGGTGGTCCTTCCAGATGGCAAGGTCTTTATTGCTGGTGGTCAGACCTGGGGTAAGCCTTTCCACGAGGGAGACATCAATTTCACCCCGGAAATCTATGATCCCGAGACAGACACATTCTTGAAGCTGAGCCGCAACAACATCAAGCGAGTCTACCACAGTATCTCCATGCTGCTGCCAGATGCTACAGTTCTCAACGGTGGCGGTGGTCTCTGCGGTAACTGCTCGGCTAACCACTATGACGCTGAGATCTTCACTCCACCATACCTCTTCACCGCCGACGGCCAGAGAGCCACCCGTCCGGAGATCATCAATGTCATAAACGGAGGTGCGAGAGTCACCATCGGCCAGGTATTGAGATTCCAGACAGACTCGGAGATCAATTCTGCATCCTTGGTCCGTGTCGGAACTACCACCCACACCGTCAACACCGACCAGCGTCGTATTCCCCTCAACCTCAAGCCGTTGCCTCAGAATAAGTACGCCGCTCGGCTCCCTGACGACGCTGGCATTATCCTTCCAGGATGGTATATGCTGTTTGCCATGAATGGCGCGGGCACTCCCAGTGAGGCTAAAATGATCAAGGTGGAACTTCCGTCGGGTTCTTCGTACGAGCCCAAGAAGTACGACGAACAGGACGGGGCTCCGGCGTCTGGCTATCCCGGACTGGCTCACGACTGCGATGACGATGAAGAGGTCCAGGGGATAATATCCTTTATCTTCACTTCGTCCAGCTACTTTTGGAAGTCTTGGAAGTCAGCCTTGGTCACCCAGGCTTAATTGTCTATATTATGTACCAGATCGTAGGTTATTCCTACGATGCAATCTGTAACATCAATGAGAGTGTTATTGTTTTATTAATTGAGCGTATGATGCTCCTAGTCTGTAAATCCTGTGATATGGATAATGTTATTATCTAGTTCTTATAGATGTAAGTCTGCAGTAATTGCACGATGCCATGTTTGTCCGGAGCAGGATTATAATATCATCTGCCTGCAGGAACAGTGAGGAGTAGAAGAATTTGTACAGGTATATTTGTATACAGGCTAATCCGAATGTAGGTCCCTTGCTCGAGTCTTGTCGGTACCAAAAGGGAAAAGAACAAAAGCCTTCGTGTCTGCGGAGTCATCAAATGGGCTATACTCTTGGCAGATAAAGGCAAATGCACAATAAGAAGATTAGTAGAAGCCAGTAATCCTATAACCAACACACCTAGTGAATACTTCCATCGATGTGCCAAGTTTAATCCGAAGCCGAGAGCCGAAGCCGCACCAGGGTTTATCTTAAGAAGCGGGAATAGTACACGACCTACCATTACATGCACTCCCTGAGTGTTGCTCCTTACTGATATATTGATCGCAATCAGCCGTTCTGTCTTTTGACTTTAAAGTCAAAATGCCCCACCAGCAAAACGACAGTGCTCCTGAAAAACAGCAGGCTAGGTCTCATGCCAGAGAAGAATCTGCATACAGTGCACCGGTGAATGGGGGTCTGCAGGCCTGGCTACAGGTGGCAGGATCTTTTTTCCTATTTTTCAATTCATGGTATCTTTCCTGAGATTTACCGTCGAGGTTTACATCACTAACGCAGGACATTCACACACTAGGGGAACGGTGAACACGTTCGGTGTCTTCCAAACTTACTATGAAATCACGCTGCTCAAGGACCAGTCCAGCTCGAATATCTCCTGGGTTGGCGCCATACAGGCATTTCTCTTGCTTGTCGTCGGTGTCGTCACTGGTCCTCTCTACGATGCGGGATACTTTTACGTCTTGGTGTCCACGGGGTCTGTCCTGAATGTGGTTGGCTTCATGGCCTTGAGCGTATGCACGGAATACTGGCAGGTGCTCCTCGCCCAGGCCTTCTGCGTTGGTGTTGGTAGTGGATGTTTGTATATTCCCTCTGTGGCAATTATTCCACAGTACTTCTCATCTCGCAAGGCGATTGCCACGGCCGTTGCAGCGTCCGGAAGTAGCCTTGGAGGAGTTCTATACCCAATTGTGTTTCGGCAACTGCAGCCTCATATAGGATTTGGATGGACTACTCGCGTGCTGGGTTTCCTGATTCTTGCGACGACATCGTTCTCACTCAGTGTTATGCGCGTTCGCCAAGTTCCAAAGCAAAGGCGCATTCTGATCGAATTCTCTGCGTTCAAGGAGGTCCCGTATACGCTGTTCTGTATGGCGATGTTCTTTGGCTATATCGGCTTCTTCAACCCGATCTTCTACATTGAAGCGTATGCTATCCAAAAGCATGCCATGGAAGAGACGCTTGCATTCTATCTTGTCTCCATCCTAAATGCCGCCTCAGTTCCAGGTCGGATTGTCCCTGGCCTTCTTGGCTTGCGCTTCGGTCCATTAAATATTCTCCTAGGAAGTGCAATCATCAGCGGTATCCTTTCACTCAGCTGGGTAGCCGTCTCCAACGCTGGCGGCCTAATAGCGTTGGCCGTCCTGTACGGCTTTTTCTCCGGCGCTTTTGTCTCACTCCCGGCGGTTGCCTTGACGACTTTGACACCAAATCTCCAGACACTTGGGACTCGAATGGGAATGTGCTCTCTGTTGTGTGGTTTTGGATCTCTGTGCGGTGCGCCGGTTGCAGGCGCCATCCTGGACGCTACGCGATCGTACCTAGGGGTTCAGCTATACTCAGGGCTCACCGTCGGTACGACAGGTGTTCTCCTCTTTTTCGCCAGTCTTCTTAAGGGAAGAACTAATTAGGGACCGACTCGTCTCTGTGGCCAGACAAGGATTCTGGTTTCAAGGCTTAAATTGAGGCGTTAATGTGCTCATTGCTACCGTCGTTCCAACTCAGATGTCTGGTGCGACAGAGAGTAGGACCTTCCTCGCCTGGGTCTAGAGGTTTCTTCTCCCACAATAAGAGCTAATACTAGGCATGTGCCCAGTTATATAGAAAGCAGAAACCTCAGCAAAAAATAGAGCTCAGCGCCGTCAAGATCCATTATGCCGTAGCACATAGTCTCATATATTTGAGTACAATCTCGCAGGCTCGGCTAGGCTCCATCCCAGTCAATCCAGTCAAAGGTGTTCAAAAGTTCAAGGTGTGGATAACCAGTAACAGCACTCTCTTCCCAGAATTGTCCCTCAAGGAGGGCATCGGGACTAGGTTGGTGGGAACCCAGAACAGGTGGCACATTAAGAATACGATCCAGACACCGACCAAGGATCCTCCGAATAAACGAAACCGTATCTCCGCTAGATGCCAACGGCTGGATCCATTCGAGGTACGCAACAAGCAAACTAAGGTTCTGGATAATGTCCGAGCGTGGGAAGTGTAGGATATATTCTGGTCGCAGCAGCTCGAGGCAGAGGATTCCACTAGGGGGAACAGCGTACGACATTGCCTGCCTTCGTCAGTAGGTTACCCATGTAGTCAGGAACAGATGGGAATATGCCAGCCACTCAAAGTCACTATAGAGACCAACAAAACGGTCCTTTTTCTTCCAGAATATCAAGGTCAGTTCCAGCATGCGCTGGCTTACGTTGACTAGGTCCCGGGTGGTTTTTGTCTTATAGCGTGTCAAGAGGCGTTCCAGCAGGAACAAATTGAGCAGTGACTCGAGTTTGGTGAGTATTTGTGCGTAGAGATCATACCCTGGAATGTCTCCACTGTCTACCTTACTCGACGAGAATATGATCGACTCCGGTAGCTGCATGTACGTATCATGTGTGCTCTGCTTCAACCTCCTGTATGACGTTTAGTATTATATGGACTCAGCGAGGAAGACGCACATGGCGCGTTCTACCAACTGTTCCGAGGGGACATCCAGCGAGGCTTGCACAAGCTCCAGTATCTCATGTCGGATCCGAGCGAACATTGTACGGGACCGCAGAATCGTCGTGGAGTGAATTCGGCCGTACTTGTTCCATCCATTCAAGTCCAGCTCAGCGGCTGCAGCCAGAGGATCGCCCGACAATAGCGCCTCATCGCTCAAGTCCAATGGAAGAGAAGTCGATGAACAGGCCTGACTCAGCATTGGCGGTCTGCCAGTGAAAGTTGATATGACCTTGTCGATGTTGAAGACTGCGGCGAAAACTCTCCTTTTCATCTCGTGCTGTAGTGTCGGCTGTTTTGATGCAGCTGTCAGCTCTCGATGTAATCCTATGGACGTGGCAACAGCAACGAGCTCGCCATGCTGCATCCAGCATGAGAGACCTGTCTAGTTAGTATCCTGCCATTTATTCTAGCGTACCGTCGAGCTACATACTTTTGTCACCGTTCAGGATACCTTCTAAGATATTGTGCTTGTAGAGCAGATACACAAACAAGGCGTTGACTGAGCCAAGCTGCCGGCACAGATCAATGCACAAGGACGCAGAATGCTTTAGGTGGGCCATCAACCGTTTCGGTCCAATGACAGATGGATGCTGCTGACAGTATCGGGAGACGGCCTCGCTCTCCGGGGACGAGGATATCGCTCCGAACGCCCAGTAGGTGTACAAGATACCGAGGGTTTCCCACCGCATCTGCCTCCCTGTAAATGATGCCAGCCAAGCTTGCGGATCTTGCTCCCCCTTCAATGTTGGCTTGCTATTTGCTGAAATATGAGCAGCGAGAGTCAGCAAGTCGTCTCTCGACCGTCGTGTTAGGGCCGGGCGGAATGCATTCCACATCCTTTCTGACGAGTGATGGGCGGCTAGCCGAATCCAGCCATCATTTGGGTTGACATGCCTCGAGAATAGACTCGGACAATCCCGCTCCCCGGGTATCTGTTGTAGAATTTCGGCACCGAGCTGCAGCCGCTGCCTGTCCACATCAGAGTTCGGTTGCGGGATCGAACGCAAATCAGGATCAGTAACACGGTCCGCCTGACTCCCCAATGCACTGACTGTATTCTCCAACTCAAACCGATCACCATGCTCCATGAAAACTGAGGTAAAGCTTGTCGGACCCAGATACTCCGTCGGGCTGTCGATCACGGGTGTGGTCTGTTGTGGAACCCGCCGATTCTCCGACGCATATGGCGCATGGACTCGGTCCCTGGACGGGCCGGCTGACTGTCCTACGTCTTTGGTAATCTTATCTACTCCTGTGTCTGCCACGGAACGCTCAAAATAGACGCATTTCATCGAGAGCTTTTGGCATCGCTGGCACGTGGGGTAACTGTGGTCGCATGCTAATTTCCGCCTTCGACAGGCCTCACAGGCGGCCTTGCGACCGTTTCGGCGCGTGAAAGGAGTGCTCATTGAAAACGTACAGAGGGTGGCACATTGCAGGTAAGGTCAACATCAAAGAGGGAGTCAAAGGCCGAGGTCAGACTTGAATTTGATCTCTGCAAATCACGGTTTCGCTCCCTGCAGCTTTTTCCCCGACCAACTTTTTTGCTTTGTTGGGCCTGGATTCTCGCCCTTTTGCTTTGTCAGATTTTGGTACTTTGTTAGAAGTCGCTTCTTCGGATAAATTAGACACCATCCATGGACGATGTAACATGGGACATGGATTCTCGGCACTGAATTTTGCCAACCCATAATGATGCCAAGTCACATAGCACATACTATATATTCAAGATTTATGACTGACAACTCACTACTAACTTTTACTAGATTAGTGCTATTAGTGCTTAAAAACTGGTGTTTAACACTACATGGACAGCAAATTATCTACACGGTAGTACTTGCATCTGTCAGCATATTGGCCGATCTAATGTCTCTGTGGTGTTATAATACGGGTACTCTGGGTAGAGATTGCAGCACCACTACTGAGGGGTGTTAAGTGCATACAGGAATATAATTTGAGACAACAGAAGGAATGGGTGTGGAATATATTTCTGGGGACTCCTGTAATGACGCTTAATTTGATCATCTACTTTCGTGTAACATGAGCCTCTGCAGTATTGTTGTTGGATTCTCTCCTGTTATCTGGAATGTATAATCACGGGCCCCGGGAATTAGGGCCTCCCGTCAATTCCACCATGCTGAGGGGTAGGCTATTTAGCCATTAATATAATAATCCGAGTACAGGCAATAACTCAATTCCTATTCACATAAATTATTTCCAGGAAGAAACTTGTGACGCATGGCCACCACCTCAGCCGATTGCTTGAATGTCAACGATGTAGGCGCCGGCCGTCTGGTCCGAGTACACTGCCTTGGTCAATTCAGCTGGCTCAAAGGCCCAAAATCATCTGTATATTTCTAACCTCTTCTAATGATGTCGCTGGAGACGTGGCACATGATATAGGCGACTTTGAAGCCGCCTAGCATCTTCTTATTAGATGCAGACCTTCTCCACGCTTCTCGAGAGTCATTCCTGCTACGGGATTCGACTAGTTGACAGGGACTCTGAAAGTCCTTAAATAAAAGTAGACTAGGCATATGTAGTGTATATTGTATTTGAGGACCAAATATACTCTTGCCACCCAACTCACTGGAGTCGCAAAGTCTCCACATTATGGAACTTGGTAGCAGCAGTGCCAGGTTATTGTGTTTAGGCGTAGTCTATCATTTTCGTGACAATGTGATATCTGTGTAAATACCTTCTGAATTGCAGCACACTAGTGGAATTCACAGAGGCTAATGCGTAAAAAAGCCATTCTCTTGCACGGATTCATATGTTATATGTGATATCCAACTGTGTATATATGTATTGCATATAATTGCTACATAATTCTAGTATGGGACTGGGGCCGCCTAATGGGCCGTGCTCTAGTCACTGTCCTTATACCTTTCAGGCTTTCCCTCCCCCTCGCAATCTAGGCTTCGTAGCCCTTTAAGATCCTATACATCAAGCAGATATGAAAGGCAGACCAGTTATAGTTATGACCTCCTTCCACTATCGTTAGGGTAAGCGTCTTATATAATCTCATGCTGAAGATGGGTATTATAGTAGCTATTTACATGGAACACTAGAACATGAATAATGTAGCAAGGTCTTGACATAACTGCCCACTAGGTGTTTACATCTATTAGGCATACTTCACTACAGAACCCAGCATTCAATCAAGACCGTTTTGATTGGAAGAGGGCCAAGATGAGCCACGGAGCTTCAACAGAGCCAAGAAACTGTCTACCAAGAGTAAAGAGTGATAGCCCCACGAGGAACCGATTAAGTCTTTGTCGTGTCAGAATCAATTTAATTCCCATCGGTGACCCCTCTCCTGTGTCAAAATGCCACATCGACAACCATCGAGTCTCCTACCCTTTCCCTCTTCTCCTACACCCCCCAACCACATGGATCAAATGCAGGACATGGAGGACTCATTCATTTTAGCTGCTGACACGTTTCTGTTGGTGAGTCAAAAGAAATTGTCTACTGAAGCCTGCACTCACTTCCCTTAGGAACGATGGCAGGAAGATTCCCTTCTCTCTCCTGAGGCCCAGCGGGAGCAAATTTTTACCGAATTTGTAGCCTCGGCGTCAACGGTCAGCAGGTACTGATCCATTCTATCTCTGTCTCCATTATTTACACCTCCTGCACAGAATAGATACACTAACGGATCACCGCCGAGGGTCTAGCCTTACAGAGACCAACTAAGACAGCGTGGTTCCCGTTGGCCGAGTTGACGCCCTAGGAGCGAGGGCTACTGGATCGCGTACGCCGGCCGGCAGCGGAACGGTTTGCTAAGGGTAACTTGGCTCCCCACGTGTTATGAGTCCTCAACGACGCTGCATTTTCCAATATAGGTAGCAGGAATGAGGACCAGTTTTCGGGTGAGGTAGTCTCCCTGATTGATCCCACATTACATGACTTCGGGGCTGACTGGCACAAAGACTTCCTTGGCATCCCACAGCTCCTGGAGTTTGGAGGCTCTGCCAACGGTTACAACAAGCGCCTGCAGAAGGCGCTGCAGGAAGTGCTGAGACGAAGAAGAGGAGGACGCCAAGGAGGATGAGGACGACTACACCGTGTACCACTGGACTCTTGTAGTAGGGCGGATTGATATTGTGAATAGGACAACGCTGGCCACTGAAGGCTGGAATGCTGACAAGGTTCGTAATGTCTTCTACGATGAGTGGCGAGTGGCGCCGGGTATTGCGTTCGTACCATACGGAGGTGGATGAGGCTGCGGACATCACCTGTGTGGACGATTATATCCTGAATGAGAATGCTGGGCCAACGGCAAGATAGGCAAGGACTACAAATGGGGGGGCCCCCTTGGGTCCGCCATATGACTAGGATGACTCTGATGAAACTGACAGTGAGGGGAGTGCTGATGATAATGAATAAAGAGATCCTACATAGTGTAGGCTACACCCTGGGTTTCTCGAACTAAGGAACTTTTGTTGGTCATAGTAATGAACAAAGTTCGCTCAAACAAGGGTCTCCACTGGCCCGGGTCCTCCAGCAAGGGAGGCAAAAAAAAGCCATACATAGTTTTGCCCATCGCTCCCCAAGGCGCAAACAGGAAAGAGAAGAAGCTGCTTCAATGTTAACAACGACAATCTCGCAACTACTCGCCCAGAATGCATGGCTGTCAGCTGCGATGAGTGCCCATTCGCGTCCTGCAAAGAGGGAGTGGATTTGTACCCTATGCTGCAGGGCTCCACCACAGCGGGTGTAACGAGTGCACCAGCAGACATTCGAGAGAGGGTCAGTAGTATGTATATGAGTATATATTTATATACCTGTCGATTTACTGATGGATGCCATGAGCTATTGGGCGCGCTATTAACTAACTATCTATCTATCGAGATATATATATATATATACTGATCTAGGGCGTAAGACTAGATTAATGTTAGTTAAGCATATTACTTCTAAGAGCCATAAGTCACGACTCACATGCAATTGATGGGCTATTGATATCCATATCGGGTATGCTCAACCCATTCAATAGAGGTTAGACCAGGGTCTACCTAAATCCAACCCAGTGTGCAGTATTGCTTGGGTTGATATGGATGTGCGGATTGAGTCAGCCGGCATACTTGTACTGCATGAAGCCACCATGCGGGGTAATACGCGACTTGAACAGCTCCTCCAACATCTTCAACTGTCCAACTCTTCCACACAGCCCGTTGCAACACTCAACATGCACGCCTGGATCGATCCCCCCCTTCGCGATGGAGAAGACGGGGATGAGCGGGAACCCACTGAATCCGAAGCCATCGCCAACATCGACCAGTGGTATCAAGAAGGACGACCGCTGTTTCCCCGCGATTCCCTCCAAGATGTGCGCGACCAGCTGCGGAAGCCCCTCAAAAAGGGCGACTCCATTTACGTGAAAGCGTTCGATGGGTCGATCTACGAATGGCCTGTGAAAACCGGCGACATCAAAACAGTTTGGGAGCCCGACGATGAGACGGGAGAGGAGAAACGGGTGCAATGGGTGCTGTGAGAATAAACATATCTTTTCTATCTCTTTTTGGACGACGCGAGAAAGGAAAATTTGGCTAATTCCACGATATGTTCCAAGGACCACCCCGCACATTTCTTATCGCTCATTTACAGGGCTTAAAGAGGTGCTAAAATACAGCCTGTCACAGGCGTATTGCAGCGTGGGGATAGAACACTGGATGACCCGCGTCGGCCGCGGGCCCGAGCACGAACAACTGGGAAATTCTGACTCAGGACTGGAGTTTCTGGACACTACATTGCGGAACTGGGAGGGTAGCGAAGCATGGAGGGACATCAAATCCACACTCTCGTCTTTGAACCTCAATATCAAGATCGGCAAGGTGATAGGTATGGCATGCGGGTCTTTCACACCGACATTGGACTGCCGAGGATCCAGAAGATCAGCCGTTCAACATGCACTCCTCTTAACGCTAAAGAGCTTTCTGCAGGAAAGCAATTTAGGCACCACTGATGTCGCGTGCTACGTCCAGGACCCAGGATATTCCAATACTGATTGGCTGGTTCTTCAAAGATCAGATATCAAGGTGCTCGAGGACCCGGAGGGCTTCCTCGAAATGGATGATGCTTCCCTCGTGTTTTCCTGCAGCCCCAACATTTGTGTCAAGGAGATTGTTGCGGACATTGCTCGACCGCCCATTCTCATCTGGTGTACTGTCAAAGAGGAAGATCCGGAATGCCCCCTGTACGTGTCCTTGGCGTCTATGATGACCTTGTTTGGTTGATGTTGGTAACAGCACCGATCCAGACTCTCCGCGGGTCAGGGAGATGATCCGAACGTGTTACGATCAGTTTCCGTTCCCCGAGGATCATGATGATAACTTTACGTGCTTGACGATATACGTCAAGAAACAGTGCCAAGTTCCACAGTAGGAGAAGAGTTGGGAAGCTCGCTGTCATGCCATTACAGCTCAGTTCTTAGTTGTGTCAAGGGTTAGGTCTGGCTTCTGACATTGGACGAATACTAGGAGTGAACCACTGTTCCAGAAGAAGCTTGAAGAACGAACAGTATATTTTTTCATTGAATCGGTCTACTATAAGCGAGCGATTTAGGAAGACCAGTAAACATCTACTCCCGGTTAGCTGTGCCGTGTCAATGATACAGGAACTTCCTGTATTTAGCATCACCCAATAGGATGAGATACAGTATTTCTAAAAACCCAAGCATCAATCATTTCGGATGAGCATATAGGAAGAATTCCTTTGAGAGAAGCTGTTACTAGAGCACAAACTTCCCAGGTTTTTCAGAAACAAGCGACTAATCAAATGGCCATGCGTGTTCTAGTTCACGCACTTCCTCAATGTTTCGCATGTCCTTCAGTATGAACTCCTGCTTCCCCTAGGTATGATCTCTCTTGTCTTGGCAAATTGCTCATGGCTTACCACTGCCTGTTCATAAAAATAATGCTTACTGATCATTTCCTGTGCGTCAGCGTGATGGATGTTGTCGCACCTGTACTGTGCTTTCCGATCTCTTCAAGCATGCCCTTAGAGAAGTCCAGTGGAGGTCTTCTATTTGCAGTATGACATTCTTAGAATCACAGCCTATTTTCCCTGCTGCTAATCTACCAATATCCCTAAGTATGTCGCTTCTCCATCAAGAAGAAGCTTCCGAGCAAACAAAAGTAGATGAAAAAATGATACTCGAGAGCCTTGAACTGATGCATGCGTTTCTTGCGCACAAAATATCTTCATGTGCATGACCACAGCAATCAGCTATTATAGCGTAACAAATAGTAATGGTAATAAAGCTGCAGAGTTAAACATGGGCTAGCCCTTCCAATTCAGTAACTCACAGTTGATATCCTAATCAAGTCTGAAAATAATGGCGGAGTTGATTAACAAGAGACTATTATTTCATGTCTAGCTAGTTATATTTGTCCACATATCATACCTTCGCTAGTTATAAGGCCTCATCACAGCTTTACTAACAAAGATGGTGATGCTAAGTCCATATAAATAGAGTAAATATAGATATAACCTAAAAGAGGTATAGTGGTAATTTAGGCATGGAAATTTAATCCTTAAAAGCTTAGCTTCCACACTAGTCTTCATCCAGAGGCGAAAGCCTTATCATCGCTATGCTAACAAGATGGTGATGAACCCATCACTCAAAGAGCCTATGGGCAGCCAGGCTCAGCATAGCGCTCTTCTCTTGTTTTACCCTCTGCTGTTAGATAGAAGAACTAGATCATGGCAGCAAAGAAAAGGACCATTGGAAAGAGAAAGCTAAGTACGCCGCGAGTGTGATTGTTGTTCAACAAATACGTACAGGCAGTATACAATACACTGTGCATATTTAAACAAATCAAATGGGTCAAAAAGACAAGAACGGTATGAACAGATAATATTCTTCATCTGCCAAAGCAAGCCCCTCTCTGGTCAAACCTACATCCGCGATGTTTCACCTCGGGTTTCCGTCCATCCATTACTCGCACCGGGAGAGGACATCTGTGTGTCTGGCGTGCGCACTGTTCTTAAAGTGAAGCCTCGCCCGTATCGTTCCTTAAAACCGGTTGTCGCCTCGCCTTCCACCACGTCGCTTGCTCCCGGCATGGTGCTATCTTTTGAGATGTGTTCTTCACTCCTCAAGTGACTGGTGTACATAACTGCGAGGTCTCGCGATAGTTGCTGGACTGACTCGTTGCTTACGTAGCCTCCCACTTGCCTGCTCCTCCAACCCAAACCCCGGTTCTTTCCATGAAGAACCTTCCCGTTCGTGGATACCATAAACTGCAGAGCGTCGCCAGTGCCATAATTTTCGATAACGCTGACATTTTCCTTTAAGTGACTATCCGCCCGTGAGCAAATCTCCAAGCACTGCCGAGCAGTTTCCCACTCATCCCGCAGCCTGGAGAGGTCTTGAGCATCTTCGTTAGAAGAAATTGCAGTCTCTGATTTCGAGAGTAGCCGATCCATAACGTCTCGCATATGCTTTTCCAGCTTGGCAGCCGTCACAGCCAAGCTCTTTTTGCACTCTTGTAGGCCTTCGTTTGTGACCATTTCGGGCGACGCCTCAGCTCACACTGATCCCCGAGATGGACCCGCCTCGTCGGACATCAGCTGAAGCTGATCGATATGGCTCGACAACTGGGCGCAGATCTGAAGGCACTTCTCTGTACTCAGGCGCTCCTGTCTGAGCGAGTCCAGCTCGGCCGCATCTGAACTGGAGTGCGCTACCCCCTTCTCAGCCAGTTGTTCCAACTTTCTATCGATACTTTCGAGTCGAGCTCCCAGGTCCTCCTTCGCATCTTGGATGAGACCCTCGTAGTCCCTAATGCTTTCAACAGCGACCGCAGATTGGCGCCTTGTGAATGCTTAGTAACCAACACAGAGGACAAGTTCTGTTGTAGCTGAGGGCGACTTACAGAGTTGCATCGGTCAAGGCAATATTGATCGTGGCCTTATATCCTGCCAGCAAGTCGCGGAAATCGTCAATATCATCACCCATATACCTCAACCTTGCCCAGTCACGGAAGCTTGTCCGGTTACCGTCCGATCGCGACATGCATCGGAGTACCTCCTGCTGGAACTCTTTGCAGACATTGCCGCATCGCAATAGCGGCAGCTCCAGGACCGAGAGGTCAGCGTCAGAGTTCGATTTCATCAGGTCGATAAGGGGAGCCAGGACGGCACTTAAGGCTTCCAGTTCGCAGAGAAGGTCGCGCACCCGCTTTGGATGCGAACGGAAGCTGTTCACTGTCTCATAAAGTGAGACGCTGCTTTGAAATGCGAACGTCGCCAGAGTAAGGATTCCAGAGGCTAGCCCAATTGGTTCAGCCATGGTTATGTTTGGGCAATGATGAGTTTACTGGGCTCTTCCAAAGTTTGGAGGGGCATTTATATTTCAACAAGAGCGTCGACTGGCGTCAAGTGGTAAGCGCCATGTTCGTCTCGCTCCCTCGCAGATTGTTGCTCTGCGATGGATGATGATTCCAAGGCGGTCAGGTCAGGTGGGGCAGCGGCTGCTCAAACATTGGTGTGGCGGGGAAGTAGTTGTAGTGCGGGCGCGTATTCTTTGGAGGACGGGGTCGCTCTATTTTTGGTCCAGACTGGCTGACCCAATTCGCAAATCCATATCCAACCCACCCAATCCGCAGTTTGGGTTGGATCCAGGTAGGCCTGATCCAACCCATGCGGATATGGGTTGAACCATTGGGTGCATGTGACCCAAGGCCTCTAAGAACTGATAGGCTTTCTAAGCCTAACTAGAGCTAGATAGGAGAATATTTTTATATATAGATAGATAATAGTCATATCTATCTATATATAAAGTTAAATATCGGATTTACTAAGAAAACCTAGAGTTATGGTTGATTTTAGATTTCAGATAAGGGTGATTAGTATGGTGGTGGTAAGATGTGTATATCTCCGCACTACTTTTCATCCGAAGCGTAGCGGAGACCCCTACCCCCTTATATAAAGCTATTGTATCTTATTTGGTAGGTAATAATAGTGAATTATTATATCATAAAACAAAGTATATAGATACCCTAGTGTTGTGGTTAGAATACTATGAAAAGAGACAAAAATCTCAATACTACCGCAATCCAACCCGCATGAATATAAGGGTGGGTTAAATAGCTTGTAGATCAACCCACAATCCACATGGGTTGGATCAAAGATCATGCAGATCAATCCATATCCAATCTACCACCAGTCTACCCACATATGGCAGGGAAACGGCACAGACCCGACATGAGAAAGAAACAATAGCGTCTACTGCACGGCATTTCGAATTTTGAGTAGAGGATTAGAACAATTAAGACCTTTGTTGTAGGTCCAATGTCCGTAGTGGTCCATAAGCTTCAGATCAGTAGCCCATATAGGCACCAAACTGTTCAGGGCTTAAGTTGGCTATCCACAGGCCTAGTTAGCTCATTCAGAGTGGCTGTATGTGACATACCACATAATAAGGTTGAGATATTCTATAAACCAATGTAAGAGATACCTCTCTGATGGTAGCTATTCAGAGAGATTTTACTGATGGCGCTATAACTTATGTATATGCGAGCCTCTTAAAATTGAGCTATAAATGTAAATATCACACCTTGAAAGGGGCTCATTCCCTTGAATAGCATAGAGCAGCATCGTTTGCTTGGATTCTGCCTAGTCTACTATTTAAGGAACTCAGTAACTGCTGTATCTAATTGCGTTTGGTCAAAGCGAACCGCATTGATGTCCTGAGTGGCATGCTTTACGCCTCGTATCCATGGGGCTGAAACAGAAATGTGCGCCTGCTTGATACTTTTCTAAGTCCTACGAAAATGGTCACTAATCCATTGTGCCCCCTTTAGGCGCCAGGTTTGGTGAACCTATATTTGATTGGTCCTACCGTCTGGCCAAAGAATAGTGGGCAACTCTATTAAAAATAAAAGATTACTATTTAGATATGATGACGTGTTGGTTCTAAGCTTGCTTACGAATGGGCATAGCAGCTAGGGAATGTCCCAGGGCACGTCACTCAGCTCCCGCTAGGTGTGAGCCTTAAGTAGCCAACATTAGAAACAGCACTGCCTCTACTATATATTATAGCTTAGTAGAAGATCTTTAGCTTCTAGAGCTTCTGGAGTTTTGCTAGCACTTCCTAAATTATACAGAACCTAGAGAAATGCTTGAGATGTAAAAGTTGGCCTATAGATTGGCTAGCCATAAACTTAGGAACAGGGGGCTAAATAGGCTCCTAAGCAGTGCTAATATATAGCTATACTAATCTAAGCATTCTCCAGGTCTAGGTCTATGTGCCAGGTCCTGTGGACGCATAGGGTATAAGCATCTAACTGTCTGGCCACTGGAAAGCAGCAGATAGATGATTTAATAAGGTCCATTTTCAGTGCCCTGCTAACTGTGCCATCATATACTATTTAAAGCAGGAGCAATAATAGAGAAGTAATGAAAGAGCTTAAGGTATTTCATTAAAGAGGTGTGGCAGCTGTGGCTAGGCTATAGTGCAGACTGCAGAGTCTTTTAGATATAACTTATAATTTTAACAGCACCAGATTAACAGCATCAGATTATTAAAGTGAACTGAAATTATTAATATTACTTAAATAGGAAGGCTGTTTAGATTCGCCATAGTACAATTCATAATGTTCCTATAACAAAGATCAAGTAAGCCAAGAAAGAACTGGAGGCATATAGAGTGTTTCTCCTGGATTAAAGTCTTCTGAGGGCTATTATCACCTAATAAAGCGCCCATAATATCATAACTAGGCCACAATCTATATGAAGCGAACAACTCTCTCTCATACCTATATGAGGCTATGAGCATACATAGGAATAACCATAAATTGCCTATACAGGGCCATAGAGATAATCATATAACATCATATAGCTTACAGTTTTGTACATCACATACATTACGATGATCATAGATATTCCATGCACATGTTGTTTAGGATTTAGATCCATTTTGGCCGATGTTTCAAAAAAGAATCAGAGTATAGACCTTTGCACCGGTATTGCATCCAGCTCTAAATTCTCCAGGCAAACTCAGCTAGTTGAGACGGCGAAGCATTGGGTTAGTTGCATGGTCAGAGACACATAACCATGTTATCGTACTGTACATAAAGGATACATGTCGGGTAAACTCGAGAGTTATGTTGGAATGGGGCATAACCTTCAGTAATGCTAAAACAAGCGCACGCAAACTCTGCAGAAGACGCGATGATCTTTCCATAACCAATATCCGCCATCAGTTCATTGACATCAGCAAGAAGGGCCCCATGAGATGGGAGGTGCGTTACACCATATGAAACCCCTGAGCGGTAAATCTCCATCATAAGAAAGCCTGGCTCTTTCTCGAGGATATATTCCTCCCAAAGGGCAGCCAGAAGACGCCTCTAATTCGCGCTTCACTGAGCAAAGCTTCACCCTGCACATCAGAGCTTATTACTTTGACTATACATCTAAGAACGACGAATCGCCACACCAAAAGCGCAGAACGCGGTGCCTCCGTTCGCCAAATTCCCGTGGCTGGATCAAAGATGGCATCAGCGCCCCCCTCTGTATGTCCGAATAATTTCTTGCTTTCTCCAATACCCAATAGGCAGCGCCTTTCCTTCCTTAGCCTCCATAACCTTCACAAGGCCATAAATATCAATCAGGTACTCCCCCATTGCTAGCCTTGCCTCCTCCGGGGTATCGCCTACTGCGCAATACGAATCGGTCATGTCAATGATTCAATAGACTTTGAATCGGGCAGCAGAGAAATAATCGGCTATATCTGGCCTGGAAAAGAGTCTGAAAGGATGGACAGTGCGTGATTGGACGTCAACAACTTCGCCAAACCACTTATCCATCGGCCCACCAACCTCGAAGTCATGAATCGCGAACACACCACCTGGACGTAGAACACGATGTGCTCCTTGAACAACTAAACGATCCGACGTGTCAATATAATGCATGTCATATGCCAAGAGCACACCATCGACCAAACCATCTTCGCAGAGCAGACGCTCGCCCCACTGGTGGATGGCCGGTACCCTTGCATCACACGCAGCTTGGACTATGCTCAGAGATGCCGCAAGTTAGTATGTTAAGGTTTGATAACTACAGCTGAGTTGCCACTTTATGCACAAGTCCATCGCCTCCAAGAAGGTCAAGAACTATGCCATGCGTGGCACCGGGTTCAAGTGTTATGAGACGCAGGAGCCCCTCGATACCCTTTGAGCGCGCCATTGGACTCGACGTTTGGGCATTGATGTAGTGTGTGCCACGGCCTCCAACCCGTCAGGACCAAAGCCATCATTACGATCGTTTAGGGAGCTCGCATCTCCCTGCCACTCCCAGACCCGGCTGATATCAAGGCATTTGTAAAAATGAGGGTATGCGTCCCTGAGAATTTTTATATGTGAGGGCAGATATGTGTCAACAACGATGGCCGGATCCTGTGGAGAACCCCCAATTGAGTGGCGCCACCTCTCACAATGACCCCTCCCTTCATTGAGTCAGGAACTCTCAAAACAAGCTCTCAGTCTCTGCTCCGTGGAATCTGACCCAGAAAAAGTTGGATCCCCTATTTTGGCGTTGAATGCACTAATCTCAGTGAGGGTGGAAATAAATACATGGCAATCCTGGTACCTGCTGTCTGGGATCAAGGGAGATCCTCTATCATATACTATAAAAAGGCAGCGAAAAGATTATGACGCATTACAACCCAGCCTCTTTTCAGTCGTTTATTGCATCATGTAGGTCTCAGAGCGTAGCATGGAGACTGACGCTCGGTGGCTTTCAGCTTGACAATGATGGTGGTCAAAGGCTGGCTGGCATATACCTTTTTAGCCCAAGGCGTCATAGAGTATCACAAACCGATTTTCGAGATAGGCCATCTCCGGTTTCAGGAGACGGACATGAGCGAATCGCTATCGGAAAAGGCAATTGTCGGCAACCGCGGAACCGTTCAAGGGTTGGAAAACCAATAGTATTCTGCATTATTCTGCATACAAATGATGAAGCAATGAAGGGTTGATTCTTTCTAACCTAGTATATGACAAGTTGACAGTGAGAAAGATATATTGTCAGCCTTTCCGCGCTAACCCAATTTGTAAGGTAAATGCATATACGCGGAATGACAACGGATGAAGGTCTAAACCTTCTGATCCCTTTCCTAATCTGTGTATATATAAGGTGGAATTCGATATTGGTGATGACAGTAAACCGACATAAAACCTCATTTCTTGCTTTTGAAGGGCTGATATAGGAAGACTTATCCTCCTTCTTGCTCAACTGAATTTTGTAAATTTATAGATGTTATTAGTGGCAAAGTGAAGATTTGAATTGCGT